TATATATATATATATATATATATACGTTCTAGCGATTCTATGGTATTTAGCATTCGAAAAATGGTTCATGTAATATGAAGAGAATGTAAATATTTATGTTGCCGCGATTTGTTTAAAATCAGAAAGTTTTTAGGGTACCACCATCACATGTTTTATCGTTTGGAATGAAGGAAAATTTTTGGGAAATGGGGGATGTAGGGCCGTGTGGGCCATGTTCTGAGATACATTATGACCGTGTGGGAGATAGAGATGCTTCACAGCTAGTGAATGCTGATGATCCTATGGTTGTTGAAATATGGAATCTTGTTTTCATACAGTTCAACAGGTATTTCAGGAATGTTTTTTACAAGTTCTTGGCTTACTGAAGTTATAAATCAAATAATGGATAATTAAAGGGAAGAAGATGGCTCGCTTAAACAACTACCTCGGAAACATATTGATTGCGGCCTAGGTTTCGAGAGACTTGTTGCTGTTATACAAAATAAAATCTCAAATTATGACACTGATATTTTCATTCCTATCTTTAACGCCATAGAAAAGGTGAATTTCATAGATTATTTGTTTTAATTTGTCTTCATGTTCATAATTGTTATAATTGTTATATGTATTTTAGGGCTCGAAAGCACGCCCATATACTGGCAAAGTAGGTATTGATGATGTTGATGGAGTTGACATGGCATATCGCGTAGTGGCTGATCACATCCGTACGCTCTCAATTGCGTTATCCGATGGTGGGCGACCTGATAACACTGGCCGTGGGTTCGTCTGTAACTTGTTATTTATCACTGTAGTTTTTTTTCATTTCAGTACTTTATTACTCTACTTATAAGTGATTTACTATGTTAATTTCTCTCCAGATATGTTCTACGGCGAATACTTCGTCGTGGCATACGTTACGCGAATGAGAAATTATCAGCTGCTCCTGGTTTCTTTGCTTCCCTAGTGCCAACTATTGTTGAATTACTAGTGAGTGTCATTTTTCAGAATTTCAAATTGCCTGTTTTTTCTTATAATTGTAACATCGCTTTTAGGGCGGAACGTTCCCCGAACTCTGCAGAGATCCGCAAGCTGTTATGGACATTATTAATGATGAAGAAAAGCAATTTTTGAAAACGCTGAACAGAGGACGGGTGCTGTTTCAACGAGCAGTAGATAATCTTCAGGAATGCAATGTTTTCCCCGGTTAGTTCAATGCTTTTTACTACGGATTTGTCAGATCTTAATATTTAAATCTTGATATTGTGGAAATGTCATTTAATTGCTAGGAGATGTCGCATGGCGCCTGTACGATACTTATGGATTTCCTCTGGATTTAACGCAGTTAATGGCTGAAGAAAGAGGCTTAGTGGTTGATATCGCAGCGTTCGAAAATTGCAAGCAGGAGGCTGTTGTAAGCAAACAAAATATGATATAAAATTAAATCTTTTTTTCCAATTTTTTTTGGAAATTTTGTGACATTTAGCGATAATCTGCTTAAATTTTAGGAACTTTCTTCTGCAAACGCCAATAAAGTGCGTGATACGATTGATTTAGACGTCAATGCTCTATCGGAGTTAAAGAGAAGAGGATTGTTGATAACAGATGAGTCACCAAAATATAACTATCAAGCCTTACCTTCAGAAAATGAACATACTATGTACTGTAAGTTCTCATTTATTTCTGTTCAGTTTAAACAAATTTTGAATAATACAGTTGATTATACAGGAACAAGAACTTTCAGCGAGTATATCTGGAAGTTTTCAGGTTTCGAGAAATGTGAAGGGATAATTCTTGCTTTGCGGAAGGATAAATCATTTTTCGATACTTTATATTCAGGAGATTTCGGTGCCGTAATCCTTGATAAAACCAATTTTTATGCTGAACAAGGTGGACAGATATTTGATACTGGTATTTTAACAAAAGTGAACGAGGTTTGTTTTTGTCGAAGGGATTGCTATCGTTATTGGAACTTATTAAACAGATATAATTGATCACTTTTCCTACATGTCATTTTTTAGATGGAAATTGCTATTGAATGTCACAAGGATCAATTTCTGCATCTAAATTATTTTCAGGAAGGCGAATTTATTGTCACCAACGTTCAAATGCGCGGTGGATACACAGTGCTTGTCGGTGTTGTGGAAGGTAAATTATCTGTCGGGGATACAGTCATTCAAGTAATTGATGAGGTGTGACTGAAGCTGATTTAATGTTATTTCAACAGAAAATTTTTTTATTGAAATTTCAGATATCAAAGAAAAGCAAACAAGTTTAGTTTTCTTTACGTCTTAGTTTATTTGTATATATATACTTTTTGCACTATTTCTTTTTTGATATGTGTTATAACAAAAAATGAAAGTAAGAAGACAGGCGGAAATAGAAACTGAGGATACTATATGGAAGATAAATAGAAAGAATGAATGAATTACTCTTAAGAAGCTATTTTGTTTTGAGAGAGATAAGGTTCACAAATGAGTGTTAAGAAATTTGCAGGAACGTCGTAATCTTATAATGAAAAATCACACCGGCACTCATGTTCTGAACTTTTCATTGAGGAAAGTTATCAAAGAAGTTGAACAAAAGGGCTCATTGGTTGCTCCTGATAAACTTCGTTTTGATTTTACATCTAAGCAAGCTCTAACTTACGAGCAGGTACTTCTTCCTTTTTGAAGAATATTAAAGTTCGTTACTTTCTTCCACGAATTTTTTATACAGAATGTACTTTGAAGGGAATTTTTGAAACTCTGTTCTTAAGATAAAAGTAGTAGAAGAAGAATCGCAGAAGCTGATAGACACTAATGCAAATATTTTTGCAAAAAATGCACCTTTAGCGGAAGCGCGTCAAATCAGAGGATTAAGAGCAGTTTTCGAAGAGGTGAGGGGATTTGAAACTTGTTCTTCAAATTTTATATTATTTGTTTATGATGGTCGTGTCAAGTTCCTGTCCTAAAAAGTTGTTTAGTTTTTGTATGCAATTTTTTAGTAGTTGAATTTGTGATATACGGAAGAACTGTTTCTTATTTGAAGTAAAACAAAAACAAACAATATTTGTTTATCATGCGTTCCAGGCATATCCGGATCCTGTAAGAATAGTCAGTATTGGTATACCTGTTGAACAGCTTCTTGCAGATAAGAATAGTGATATGGCATTTAACACAGCTGTTGAATTTTGTGGTGGAACGTAAGATTTATATTTTATTTAACTGTAAAGGTCTAGCGTTTTAAGTACTTTGTGCGAAATATCTGTTTAAAAATGTTTTCGAAAGGAGATTGGGAGTATTGTATCGTTTATGAAGTTGTAATTTAGACATTTGCACAATGTTGGTCATGTTGGTAAACTTGTTATCAGTACAGAAGAAGCGATTGCAAAAGGAATTCGACGAATTGTTGCGCTAACAGGGCCAGAAGCATGCCGTGCGATTAATCGCGCTGATCGTCTAGAACAAAGAATAGAAGAAGCACACAACACGATTATAAATGATAAAAGTATAACTGTAGATAAGGCTCAGTTCAAAGCTGCAACTAAAAAAGTTCTTGAGCTGATTGAAGTATGTTTTGTACTTTTTTTTTGTTTTGAATGGCAGAAATGGAAGACTAAACAAGTTTTTTTTTCAACTTAAAGGAAATCAATCACTCTATTTTACCCTACTGTCGCAAAGAAAACATGCGGAAGAAAGCAAGGACCTTGCAGAAATTGATAGATACTCTTGATCGAGAGGCAAAGGCAGCAATAGCTAAGAAGGTGTTGAAATTTTGGGATTGTGAACTCTAGTAATGCAGCAAATTCAAATATCAAAGTGTTATCATACTATATTACTTTTGAGAAACACGAATAAAGCAAAACGTTAGAATTGCATCTACCGAACTGTTTGTTTAATAATATATAAAATCTGTCGCTTGCTTATAAAAAGCACAATTTCGTACTGGTAGGAGCAATTTCAGGTGCAAAATGAGGTCAAGGAGTTAGATGCTTCATTAAATGAAGATACCTTATTCACTGTCCATATTTTCACTAAAGGCGCTAACGGAAAAGTAAGAGGATTTACATATCATAGAAAGATTCTGGAAAAAGTTAAAATCATGATTGATTTTTTTTTACTAATCGGTTTTCCTAATTTCCAGCGATTACTTAATTACCCAGAATATTTAGGTATTAGATGGTGCTCTAAAATCGATGAAAAGAACTAATGCAGTGATGGGATTTTCTGTTAATGATGATACTGGCAAAGTAGTTGTTGTGGCACGAGTCAATGAAGTGTGTGCAAGTTTTCGTCTAAAATCTAGGCTTTCTGCCCCTTAGTCACAATATTCATTTTCTACAGATTTCAGTCTTAATCTTCACGCATTCATCATGATGCATCCAATATAAATTTTTTGGTAGGATGTTGCGGATAAAGGACTGAAAGCATCACAATGGGTTTCCGAAATATGTGGTCTTCTTGATGGTCGAGGAGGCGGTACAGCTACTCAAGCACAAGCCACTGGCAACAATATTGATTTGGTAGAAAAAGCCGCAGAACTTGCATCAGATTTTGCTAAAGTCTCGCTCTATTGATTGACTTTATTATTTTTAAAACGAAGACAAGGCGTGCTGAAGATTTTACAGACTTGTTGCATAATAAAACGTAAAACTGCCGCATCATCCTGACAACTCTTTGTAGGCGTGTCTTACTCATAAAACTAAAATACCAGGAATTGTTAGACATTTGCAATGCTACTTAGGGAGAGCAAGGCACTCCCGGTAGCAAACGGTTTACTGTCATTTACTGCAATTTGTGACACCTTTTACACATCACTAAGTATAGAAATAATTAAATAGCTGTAGAAACTCAGTAAATATTCTATCATTTCGAATACCTGAGAAGGTCACTGCATCTCGTTCTCACAACAAATTTTGAATATCCTGCCTGGACGGACAAAGTAGATGATAATGCACCCCTGCAGGTAGTACTGTAGATAGCTACAGCAAGAATCTTTAGTAGGACAAGCAAGAAATTTAGGAAAAAAAATTGCTTGCTCATAAACAATTCTACTTAATGCAGTTGATCTTAGCACATCGTGTTGCGAAAGCTTTCAAAAGCAGAAACTGTATAATACAACAGGAGTCAGCATATCCAAATTACAAACTAAATAAATGAAAGCTGTAGTGATGAGATATCATTTAAAGAGCAAGATGAGTGATTTGGTGAGAAATGGTGACATTTATTTTCTAGATATTTCAAACATGTAAGAGGGTGCCAGAAGGTCTCTTACATCGAGCAATGTAGGATTCATATAACAGTAGCAGTAGAAAAGGAGAGTAAGCTCATGGCATATGTCAGCACACATATATGTAAATGAAGCACTACAAAGAAAGCCTTACGCATCGACTTACACGTATGGATCTTCACTAGAATAAGATTTGGTGGTATAAAAAAAACAAAAAACAAGAAAAATCTAATTATTGCACGGAACATGAATTAAGAATAAAAACTGGTTGAAATAATATTAGACAACATCTTCAAATTCATCGTCTTCATCATCCTCATCGCTGAAGTAAATACGATTTCCAATGACACCAGATGTACCAGAAAGCCGTTGAAGACCTTGTAAACTAGGCTGCAATAAACATTACCATATTCAGAGAAAAAAACAATTTAAGGTGGCTAAAAATGGGACCGATGGAGCAAGCTTATTACAAGATAGAGTATACAATGGAAACAACATTTCATCTTTCGAATATTCTTAATAAGAAAATTCTTAGAATTGTTTAATCACAACACATTGTAAAAGCCTAACTCTATTAAACTTTTAGTGCACTACTTCTACTGCAGAGTCCAAATATTCAACAGGTAGACTGAATGGCAGAAAATGATACCTGCATGACATTCATTCTTTTGTTCATATTAGTAGAACTAAGTTCCATTTGTTTTCGTTTACGTACTGGCTTTGTGATATTGGAATCACGCAAACGTAGTGCACATCTAAACTCCTTGATGATTGGGTAAATTATTTCAATTGCTTTCATAACGTCATTCTCCGACGCAGCTGAAAGATTACATTCAAACTGTGGACAAAAGTGAAACCCCAAAGTTCCAGTGCACATACGTCAAATGCTTACCACCAGTGACAGTGATGCTGCCTGTAGTATGGATACGCAGAGTGGCTCGTGGATTTGTAGAACGCCATATCAGTCCAACTGACAATTCTGGTTCATACTGAGAACATTCCGGGTATTTCTGCGCAAGCTAAAAATGTTTTTGTTTAGAGTAACAATTCCCTTCATATAACATTTTCATATTTATTAAAATTAGAACTAACTTCTTCAATTTTTATGCCAAATGGCATTTTACAAGTTGCCAATACGTTACAAACACGATAATTCCGAATTCGAACAATATCCATAATTCTGCCCATGCTTTTCTGCACCATCCGGGCAACACCTCTTGCTGCTCGTTTACAGTCAATCTCACTGAAATACTTAAAACGCTGAAATTCGATAAAATTTGAAAAAGAAAATTATGGAATTAAAGCCCAAACTTGTGCATACCTTCGGCAGCCGACTATATAAATTTTTCCCGAGCTGTATATTTTCACATAACATGAAGGATTTCTCTTTTGCTTCAATAACACCTGAACTTGCGAACTTATAAAGCAAGACTATTAGAAAAAGAGTATATGTTTTTTATTAAGAAAAACCCACTATTTTCAGAAATAGATGAACGTTTCGAACTCAATTAGCATAAATTCATGAAAAGTTACTAGATAAAACAATGTGAAATTTATATAATCGTGTGATATTATGTTGATTGGCGAAAAAAAATCATAAATTCAATAGCGTTGCAATTAACTGGTACAAAAATAAAGGATTTATGAATTCAAAAGAAAATGAATACTTACTCCTCGGCCTCTATCAAACGCTACATTTCCCGAACTTAAAGCAACACGATGCAGATCTATGTGCAGTGGAAGTGTGTAATTACAAACAACATTTCGTATCTAAAGTCATGAAGATTAAAAATTTTTCTTTCAGTATCATTATTACTACTTCAAAAAGAAAATGATAAATTACTTGAATATCGATCTCTTCATCTACATCCGTATCATTTCGATGTATCTCGGAGCTCGTTGAAGGTGGTGCCTCTGCCAACTGAGTTTCGACCGTTATCTTATCAGCAGGCTACAACATGTTATTTAAAATAAATGGAAAATTTTGAGAAATCAATAAATTATCATGATTTTTATAGAAATATAATTTGGAAGTCAAGTTACAAGGCTTTACGTTATTTAAAACTGGTTTTACACATTCCTCTTCTTCACGCAAAGGGATGTTTAGATAAAATAGATCTGTCTGCGGCAAATGAAAGTCCTGTTGTTGTGAGCCTGAAGATTCCGAAGAAGTCCTATTCAAGGAAGTAAAAGTTTCCAGATGGCTGCTTTTTGTTGCTTCAGAATGCCATGCAGTACTCTAAAGAACATTAACATAATATATAAATTAGCACGAGTAAAAACTCTGACTATGATGTATTCTAGTAATACATGATTATGATTCTAAATTAATTTTTCATTTTCAGAGAAACACATATCAATCCGAGCATTTCCTAATAAAATAAAGCATTTCAACAACTGAATAATCGGAAGCATAGAAAAAAACTTGCCGCCATTTCAGTTTGTAGTGAGATAGATTCGGCAGGCAACGATGTTTCTAATGTCACACAGGTACCATTGACAGTCTGAACATAATCCTAACTAAGCAAGACTGTAGACATCACCGGATTTTCACTTAATAACGAACTAGTTTTGTTAAAAATTTTATCATTTTGACCTTCTGAGAGATGGAACCTTTTTTTATGCAATTAAAAGTCTACAAAGCGCTCAATAAAATCAATAATTTTTAAGTAGTTCTATTACAGTCATCAATGATAACCTTGGTGGTTGAATTAGTAGTGACGGAAGCACCATTTAGTGGATAACTTCCACGGTCATTTTGACACGCATATATACTCATTCTGTCTTCAACGAATATAGTAATTTGCAGGCCAAATTACCAAAGTTTACAATCAAACCATTACCAAGAGAAGTTCATCAAAACCTGCAATAATTTTAGCACAATTAAATTTTATGTACATCTCTGACAGATTTAACGTTTCAAAAGTACTAATATTTAAAATAGATAATCTTTTCAACAAGTGTAAATGAAAAAATAAAGATTATTCTGTAGTATCAGATTAAGACATATATCGAATTAATAAGGCAATTATACAAATTAAAAATGCTCTACTTTTTTCCATTCACCATTGATTACATAGCATATCTGAATAAAGTATTGATAATAAAAACTAACATGAACTACTATCATGGCTACTTTAAGTTGAAATTGCAGTCTAAGATTTTATGACATATTTCGAGAATTCATTAATGGGAAAGATAATGTTGATGCAATAAAAATGCTACAGAGTAAATTTGAAATTAGTTTTTCATAGTTTAATTAAAAAATAGTTTTAGAAACAGATAGAAAAAGATCGAATACAGAAAAGCGAATGAACTTGAATATAATAAAAATTTGCCAATAAAAAGCTAAGATAATGTAGAAACTGATCCAATTCCCTAAACATCAAGACTGAATCAGATACTCACTACACATAAACTTCAAATGTCAGACAACTCTCGCTTTTTTTACAATTACTTCATTCTCAAACTTGATTACAATTCACACTAAACATGTACACAATAGCCTTTATATTACAACTTTGAGATACCTCTCAGACTTCTCAGTATTCGTATGTACTAAGCTACTTGAGGTGACTGTAATACCAAAATAACTGCGTACATAAAATATCTATAACGCAAAATGAGATTTATCAAACCTAGCAAACTTTCCCCAGAAACCTTAAATTGCTTGCATGCCTCAAAAACTCTAATATATAAGTCATTTCCAGAAAGTACTAGCCTTTACCTCTGTTCACAAAAGAATTAGTGATACCCCACATTTTTTCTGATACAAATTTCCTCAAACCACAGTAAACCAATGATGGTTTTCAATTTCCACCTCGAAGACTTCTCTGCATAATTCGTATTCGACTCTTCATATAAACGAATGCAAAAATATAGAGTGAATTTCTTTGATTTAAAAGGAAGAAAACAGGAAAAACCAAAAAATTACAAGTTCTTGACAGAATTACTTCACCAAATGCGATCAAATCATTACCAAGCCTTTAATCCGTGTCTTTTAGGCGGTAGTAAATTTATGTTCATTATTTGATAAGATTTTATATGCAATGCTGATTTGCTGTATCCACATCAATGAAAGCACAAGATAAGCTTCCATAAAACACTTTTAATGGATTAGGTTGCATTAATTTGATAATAGTTGAAGCAGAATCTTTTACCTTCACGAGTATGAGTGAACTAAGTAACATAGTAGTCTCAATACCCATACAGAGACTACTACAAATCACGAAGTAATGAAGTACGTAACTTCCGAAATACCACACGCTAAAAGTGACGCAGGAACGTCATCACAAACTGAGTTAAGTCATAGGCAAACAAATTTTCACATTATAAGCAACGAATGAATTCAGAGACGATGTGAAAATTTTAAATCCTTCAATACAAAGATGTCTATTTAAACAGCACAGAAAATTTGATAATCGACATACTTTAGTAATTGCGATGAAGAATTAGATATTTGTTTGAGGAGACATAAGTAGATGTTGATAACCATAGAATTTGAGGTTTAGGACTGATGTTAAATTAAATATGTCAAAAATTTCCTTGTAGTGTAATTTTTGAATTTCTGTAATCAAAAATAGCCAAAAAGCAATAAAAATTAATTTGTAGATAGTTTATTATTTTCAGAAGAGAGCGCGCACTCTTTGTTTTCAGCTCAGTACTGTGTTAATGGTTTGCGACTCGTGTAAGTATTTTCGCTTACTGGCATGCATGACCTTGTCTTTTTTTGGTGCAAAAGTTATTTAAATTTTTCTTTTTACTTTCTTGACATAAATATTGCTTATGCTTGCATTTGTTTCGTTATTTATTAAAATTTCACTGCTAAAAAGTTTAGCTAAAGTACTTTTAATGTTGTGTGTCGCTGTGTAGGTATAAAGAAGCTTGGAAAAATAGCAACAATCGATCCATATCGCACAAAGTCGCGAAACGAAACTGCGGGGCCGTTGAAAAAGGGAAGTAATGAGAATAAACTGCTTTCAACTAAAAAAGACAGGTGCGAAACATCTTATTATTTTAAATTAGGTAATTAACGACATATTGCATGTTCAGCGGTGCATGACGAAGTATCTTCGTGTCCATGTTCGTGATGATCTATGAGTTTAGTTTCAAATTCTGTATTAAATTTTGTTGATTAAGAATCAAATTACTTTTGTGTATAAGGTAATAGTAATTCAGCAGTTTTTTACAACTTACAGATTCCAACCATATAGTCAAGAATTTCGGAAATGTCGTATCTGCAAAACAGTCGTTCATCAAGTTGGTTCACATTATTGTCAACAGTGTGCATTTCAAAAAGCTATTTGTGCTATGTGTGGTAAAAAAATGTCTGATACCAAAAATTTAAAAATGACTTCTGTTTGAGTATTCTTTTTATGTTTAGTGATTTGTAGCAGTTATTAATTGTTTTAAACGGATTGATTTCAAAAGCAATAAGACGTATTATGTTCATATTTGTATTAAGAGTAAACATTTGCGAACAGTGAAAGTATGAATTGATAATTGTTGCAAATTAAGTATAATTTTGTGAATGGCTTAATTAGAATGCATAATTTGTTGGCTGAAGAATAGATGTATTTCTGCAGTAATCGGGAAAACCTGCACAGTTCAAAGTGTTATCACGTATAGAATCATTTTGTGGGTATGCAAACTTCATCACAAGTGATTAAAAAAAGAAACAACTAGTTTTATCCAAGTAGTTCCCCTTATTACAGTTCACATGTAGTTTGTTTATGATTGTTCAACTATTTTTAATTTTACAAAAATAGCACTAATTTGTAACTTCTGATAGCTAAAGCATGTCATCACTTTTTTTTTTAGCTTTTATTGCATATCTGTGATTTGCATTTTAAAAATAAATACAAGCATCAATTGTATTTATTTTTATTATTTCTGTTCATAATAGTTTTTATTGTATTTGATCTTGTTCTTAATTTATTTTTATTTCCGTCAATAATCTTGATAATTTTAATCACCATAAAAAAGGGTATGTAATGGAAAACGGTCACATGCAAACTTGCTACCAATATGTATTCAGTCAATTTTGAAAATGAAATAAAAAGGAAAGTAAGTGGCGTGCGTGATAAGCATAATATTCAAAGCAATTCGATCTAAAGAGCTATAAAATAGATATTAATTTCAAATTTTGTCACCTATTTTTTTCATTGGAAAGTGACGTATAAGCATGAAAAACTGCACAGAATTGCCGTTTATTGGAATGAGAGCATTCATGCATGCACCAAACTTTTTGCCGTTTGGCACTTTAAGAAACTTGTTGAATTAGGTCATTTTTCTAAAGAAGCTAAGCATATAAGTGTGTACAGTAAGGCCATGGCAATTATTTTGCATAGAAAATGATCATTTAAGGAAAATTGTGCGTAAGTATAATGCTAGAATGAACATTTACAGTAACTTGCTACCATATGAAAAATGCTGCATAAAGTTTGTATTCTTTATTGCATTTTTACTGCCTAAAATATCTCACTTGAAAGCATTATTAATAAATAGAAATAAGATTTTCGCATGCAAAAAATCAGAAATAGTGAATGATAAGAGCATTCAAAATTTGCAGCATTTATTTCTTCTATTTTGGCTACAAATATCATCTGTCCTAAACTCGCAGTTGTAATATATGCTAACTTATGCAAGTATCGATGACTATTTTGTGAAAATTGACTTGCTGAGGGAGGGATAAAAATTGTTCTCGTCAAGTGATTTATTTTTGGTTTACTTTAAAATATTTTAGATTATTGCTGACACATTTTAAATTGTTGTATTGAATTAAACGTGTTGTGCTACTTTTCATATTCTTTTATGAATGATAAATGGAATATTTTATTTTTGCTGGTTTAATTCATATGTAATGCACTAAATGCAACTTAATCATTTATATTCTCAAATTTAATTTTTATTAAATCATTCAATTAATAGAAAAAGGATGAAATGCAATCATTTGAGCCATTGCTCTTTCATGCTACTGGATAAATAACGTCAAACATAATTTACTTACACGTTGCTAAATTTCCTTGCGCAACTTGACATATTATTTACCAGTCTTTGAAATGATTAGTTATTCAAAATAAATGCATAATTACTCATAATATGAAATAAAACCAGTTGTTTTTTAATTGTAAGCTTGCACAAATTAAAATTTGAAGTTTTTTGTAGAGTTAATTTTAAAAAGCGTTCTCAATTTTTGACTTCATTTTCGATGAATTGCTCTTACCACACCATAATTTTTCAGAAAAATATGTATTTACTTGTAAAGGAGCAGTTCAAGTTAATTCAGAGTATTTTAGTCTTTTTGCTTGTTTGTGTTTGTCACTACGCAAACAAATGTTATGAATTTCAAATACTTTCTTACATCAGTTCTCTGTTGAATTGATTAAGTTGACACAATTTACTCTCTTACTGTTTAAATTAATACAATAGTAATGCCATGTCTAGCCTTACTTGTGATGTTGAGAAGTAAGACTAAGGTTAAGCGTAGTCTAGTCCCATCCACACAATAATTCTTTGCAGTAGAAATAAAGGACTTGCTTAGAAGGCATTTGTGTTGTTTAGTGAATTCTTTTTCTGTCCTTATCTCTTCAACACTTTGGCTTTTCATTAATCAAAACAAAAAATAAAAATGATTGCTTTATGACAAGTAAGATTAGCTTACAGTGAAGAGGCACTGAGAAGCTGATAATATAAATGCGACTGCGTATCCATCTTTCGAGAGATTGATCAGTGATAATCAGTAAATCACTTTTGCTTAACAACTCTACATCGCAATACTATGAAAAAGATCTCAACTCAGTCAAATACCTGTTTTCTACTTTAATAACTTTTGTAATAAAGATATGCAATAAGTGTTTTTGTACGATAACTTTACATTAGTTATCATCTCTACCTGTAATTATTTTGAGTGAAACTCGTTGATTGCGCTAAATATCGAATATTGACATCATACTGAACGAATGAATTCTATCTTACCATCTTTCTTTCCGTGAGCTTAATAATGCAATTAGATATTTACGTATATGCGTGGATAGTAATTTAAGTCTTTAATCATTTTCACTTCTGTTACGAATCCTAACAAATGCATAATATCTTTTCAGTAATCAAATCTGAATATCGAAACTAATTCATCACAATATGATCTAATCAATGCGTAAACTGGTTTTAAATTTAGTGCGTCAACTAGCGCTATCATTTTCCCTTTTTTCCTCTCATTCTGTCAAATATTTTAATTACAGTGTTGTGTGTTATATGTTTTTAGCTTATATTGCAATTAGAAGCTGCCAAAAATTGTATTTGCTTAATTAGTATGTTGCTTTAATGAAGAAAAACCGTTCGTTCTGCAATCATTTATGCTCGCTCTCTGAAGGCATTTCGATTACCAAAATCAAATCTGTAGCTGCATACTTGTATTTTCAATCTGAAAGATCTTTCATCCTTACACACTACTATTATTCATCATCAACGGATATCTCCATGCTCTTACTGCAGCAAATTTGTCTGCATAAATATATGCATGCATTCAATGCAGTAAATAGTCAATACTGTCATTTTTTACTCGTTGTGACCTTTGCAGTGAATTACTTCTTGTTAGGACAAAACATAATTAGTTGAAAGGTTATCGCACTTTTTTGGAAAACTCAATATATATATATATATAAGTATATTTCACTTGTATTCTTATTCTATTCTTTTTTATGACAATATTTTTCAAACTTTTATTCATTAATATGATAAATGAGTGTTGTTCTGTAAAAAAAGAATGTGTAAATAGTAAGTTTTACATTTGCTAATTTTTTCTATAATATCAATGCATCAAATTATTTATTTATTATCTCAGTAAATGCAATGTTATGTTAAATTGTGTTTTAAAATGTGTGATTTGATTAGATTTTCATGTGATATGCTCTTAATATATTTGTAATTAATTAGTGCTTTAAATTTAAAAAAATTACTATTTCATTGCAGATGGATATTACATTATTTAATTTCTATTTTGAATTCATTTTTGATTGCTTTCAGATAATGAAATGAAATTACTGAATTTAATTGTTATATTCTCTAAAATCATCATTATTTTCGTAAATGGCTTATCGGTGTCGCATTATCCACCAGACACTGAAAAAATAACACTACAAGTGGATGGTTACTCGCCAAAGATTGTATGTTATGCAAATATATTTTAGTAGTTTTGAGGAAATAAACAGAATTGAAATAAATTCTGTAATATCGTAATAAATCTTTTCGTATGTATGTTTTGAATCTAAACTGATTTGATCTGTTCTTTATATGATTTAAATTTAGAACTTGTCAGATATTCCTATTATAGTTTCTAAAAGGTACATTTGAAACTTGTTTCGTATGTTTCAGAATGATGACTACATATCTGTTGCACTGCGCATACGACCTGGATATATAGGTTTCATGTTAATACTCATTTACTTATTTTATATTCTAATTTCACTGTCTATATTTTTTTAAATAAATATTCTTTAGCATTTATTGTATATAGTTTAATTTTAGTGTATATTTTTGCGTTCTTACCTGGTACCATCGTAGTGGATTTAAATTCTCTCAAGAAGTATTATTTGTATTATTTCTAATGTAATTTGCAATTTTAGTTCGTTTTGAACCATTCGCAGAAGCTGATCGTATTCATCACATATTACTATACGGTTGTGCACAGCCAGCTTATGCAACGCAATTTTGGAGAGGGAAGGATATCTGTGGAAGTTCTAGCTCACATATTTTATATGCTTGGGCAAGAAATGGTAGCTGGTTACATCTTCATTATAGAACGAAAAACTATGTTGCTAGAATGAATACCTGACCTAACTGCTTTCTTCAGTTCATTCAAATTTTTTTAATATCATTTAAAATTAAATTGTACTGATCTTAAAGCATAGAGTACCATTGGTAGAATTTTTAGGAGGTATCAAAATTTAAACATCCGGATATGATTATAATTTGCTGCTGTTGATAACAGTAAATTCTGAAAAACTTTTTCAATACTATTTTGCTTCTGTTGCATTATCCTGTAATGACTTTAAAAAATACAATACGTTAGCACTCCATTCTAGACTGTCTTTACATTTCAAATTTTTTTTGCAAATCCATCGGTTAAAGACTTTTAATAGCAATTTATCGCCAAAATAAATCAAAATAATGAAGATAATGCAGTTTTATATTTTAGCCCCTGACCTTCATCTGCCGAGAGATGTTGCCTTTAGTGTCGGACATGAGACAGATTCCGTCAAATATTTAGTTATGCAAGTAAGTACTAATTAATGGATAAAAAGTTTTCCTGTTACTCGTACTGTCTTGTTTTTTTTGAAAACTTTTTATGGTCGTGAACTTCTTAGCAACATTTTTTACAAAGCAACCTTTTTTCTTCTTTTAATTCAATTAAGATTTTATTATTAATTTTATTAATTTTTACTTTATTTTTCTTAATTCTTGGAAGTTTTCATTATGGAATTGCAAATAAACGCACAAATGATAGTTTTCAGCACTCTCATTTTGTTTATCTTTCAATAAAGTGATTGTTTTATAAAACTGACTGACTTTATTACCTTTATGATAAAAATATAAATTGATGAACATTTTTAGGTTCATTACGCGCAACCATTCATAGGAAAGGTATTGGATTATTCAGGTATCACAATTCATATGGTTGATGAGAAACCGCTTAACTTAGCTGCTGTTTTGTTGTTTGTATCAGGAACTCCAATTCCTCCTGGATTAGCTCATTATCAAACTAATATGAGTTGTTTATTCAAGTAATCAGTTTTGAAAATGTTAACTTTTTAAAAATATTAAAATTATATAAATAATTAATTTTTTCAAGAAGAATTTCTAAGAATTATTTATTTTATCATCTTTTTTCAAATAAATTATAGACATAATATAATGATTTTAGAAGTGAAACACCAATTCATCCATTTGCATTTCGTACACACACACATGGCATGGGACGAGTTGTTTCAGCTTTTTACAAACATTCTGATGAATGGATAATGATCGGTAAACGCAATCCACAATGGCCTCAGTTGTTTGAGCCGATTAAAGCGAATCTCACAATTGTTAACGATGATTTGATTGCTGCTACATGTGTTTATGATTCATCAAGTCAAAAATCCGTCGTACAGATGGGGTACAATAATTATTGATACTAGAAAGTTTTGATAAGTAGAATATTTTTAGTTGGCACTAATATATTTGCAATATTTTCGTGTATGCAATTAATTACATTCATAAATTTTTAGTAAAATAATTAAAAATTGCAAAATTTGATTTGTTGTGTTTGAATAAAACTTATCTGAACTTTAGTTTTAGCATAAGTTGCATACAAAACTATATCTTAGTGAATTTTAATTGAATTTTATTGTAAACTTATGGATGATAAAAAGTTTTGTCTAAAAGTGATTAGCTTAGAAACTAAGTAGTAATTGAGCTAAGCAAAGTTTTTGTGTGAAGTTAAACAATATTTATGTACAATAACTACTATTAATGTAAACATTGATTTTTTTTTTTGCAAAAGATTCAATATGTATTTGATTTTCAGAAGCACAGGTTCGGATGAAATGTGTAATTTTTATATGATGTTTTATTGGAATTCTTCATTGCCAGATCCACTTCCTGATGAAGCTAATTGCTACATGCAATACAAGCAACAACTTGTGAGTAAAGAATATCCAGTTGAAGGCATTAGTTTGCTTCCATCTCATCCAGAATGGGAACTCAAAGCTCATCAAAGTAGTAAACCTTTTGGTAAATCTTATCATTATTTATTTATTTTTCGTATAGCAATTAATAAACGGATTTAAAGTTAATTATTTTAAAAGATTGAAGCAATTTCTTTGTGTCTAAAATGGACTGCCTTAGAAATAATAGTAATTGAGTTGAAAAGTTACTTAATTAACTCTTAAAAAGTATGCGAATTAATAAACAAATGTTATTTAGTGAAATTACTGCTTGCCGGTTATAATCTTTCAGTAATAATTTGGATTGTTCCATTTATAATTTTAAGTGAAGGATTGTTTGTAAATTTATATTTTTTTGAAAAAAATGCTTCAAACCAGATAAACAATTCAAAATGCACATTTCAGAAAATTAACAGTTCTGCTCTCATTTTAGGAATCAGTGAAGGAATTAAAACAAGATCAATCAATGGTATCAAACTAGGGCAGGTTTCAGGGCTTTGCTTTGATTCTTCTGGAAACTTGATTATATTCCATCGTGGTAGTCGTGTTTGGGATTCAAAGTATGCTACTCGAATTTCCATTTCTGGCAGATTGAAAATGCATTATACAATTACTTGATTTTTTTAAGCACTCTTTTTTGTCATACAAATTTTTCAGCTCATTTAATACCGAAAATGTGCTCAGAGATAAAACACCAATTATGGAAGACGCAATTTTAGTTACGTATTCAAATAAACCAAATGCAACATTTCTGCTGCGCCACAAATATGGTAGTGGAAAGTAAATTTTGTCAAAAATTTTTACTCTTCAAAACTGAAACTAAATGCATTGTTTCGGCGGGAAAATATTTTATTGCACCTTCACCATAATTTCAATAATATAAAGTATTTTAAAACAGTCATCTTTAATCCTAAAATCAGTTTGATCTCATCTCAAAAAATCATACTTAATTTGCTTTTAGATTGTTTTCAGTAGTGAAGCTATGTTTTTTCTTAATTAAATTTAAAAATTTTTGCAGCTTTTATATCCCTCACAGTATAGCAGTTGATGCAGAAAACAATTATTACACAACAGATGTTGGATCTCACCAAGTTATTAAATGGGCTGTTTCAGAGGGTACGTGTTCATGTTTTGTTTCTTGATGATAACGAGTAAAATTGTACTCAGGAAAATTTTGAATAATTAAAAATTGTTTGATCATTCTGTAAAATCACACATACTTCTAGATTAAATGATGCAAAATTCATATGACTATTCTATTCTTATTCATAACTCATTGATGAATCTATGGTATTATCTTTGATGAAAATATGCAAAACGATTATGTTTAGACTGAGAGAGCAAGAGTATGAGCATATTAATTAGCTTTAACATTTGAGTAGATATGAATATTAGATTAACAATTACAAAATTTGCAGGTGTACTTACCAAAGTTTTGGAATTGGGTGAAAAATTTATACCTGGTGAAGATAAAAATCGTTTTTGCAAGCCAGCAGGTGTTGCTGTTACCAAAGATGGAAATATTTTTGTTGCTGATGGCTATTGTAATAACCGAATCATGAAATTCGCTCGAAACGGACAATTCTTGCTTCAGTGGGGAATGGCAAGTTATGGTAAGTATGTCAGAAAGAAAAGGATATAAACTGATATAACCTTCTCAAGTTGTGATTCAACCTAAAAAATAGAGAGCAGTGAAAATCAAGCCTGTTATCATAATTAATTTGAAAGGTAATCGAAATTGGAGAAAAAATTCTGAGGTTTCTAAAATAATGCTGGGTTACTCTTAGTGTTAGTGCTGCAATTTTTTCAAAGATGTTTTTGATATCATAAAAATTTATTAAGTTTTATTAATTATGCAGCTTTTGGCATGTCAGTTCCACCACTGGGTACCTTTTCGTTACCACATGATATTGTTACGAATACTGATAGCTCATTGTTATATGTTGCGGATCGTGAAAATGCTCGCATACAAATATTCGATACTTACGGCCAAGTAAGAGGCCAGATAAGTAATACAGCCAGAAGCAAAGCATTTTCTAATATCTATTCAGTTCACTATCATGGTATCTTTGTATTTTCTTATAAAAAGTTATCAGTTAGATGTGAGATTTACTAGTACGAATATTGTTCTAGTGAAGTTTTAAAAAATGAATTAGTTATGTTTAGATCGAACTGAAAAAAAAAATTAATTAAGAATTCATATATTGTAAATACATAGAAAAAAAGCGAAGCGATAACCTGCTTTTCAGTCTATTAGAATGCAAATTTATTCTTTCTTAAAAAACTATTCATCTACTAGTGATTGTATCCAAAACATGATTCATTCATTCCTCGGATACAGAGGCTGTTTTGCTTAGAATTATACTAGATATAAGAAATACGATTTGTTACTTGCAGTAATCAAGATTGTTGTATTAGTAAATACATTTTGATTACGATTGAATATTTGAACTCATTATTTTGTTTGTAATGTTTATAGCCAAAGTATTGAGCTATAAGTCTTATCCCTTTCATTTTTAACAAATTTTAATTATTAAATTAGTCCTTAAATATTATGTTCCTGAAAGGCAATTCATACAATATATTTGTAGCAATGATAAGATTTCAGCCGATACGTTGTATTTCATTCCTGGTCGATCAGAAAAAAATGAACAAATGAGCGCATTTAATGCAAACGCAAGTGCTGCGCGAGTGCAATTTTCATTTCAGCCAATAAATTATCAATTTAATAAACCACATACAATTCGAGTATCACCGGATGGACAATATATTTATGTTGGAGAGTTGGGAGACAATGGTGGTCAAGTGTTACAGTTTATAATTCATCGGGATTTACATAATGAAGGTAATAATATTGATTTTCTAAAATTTGTTTATAAAAATTCAATACCGATTTGCTTTGGTGATTTATTGATTGGAACCTGGTGTATTGCAGTGAAAAGTAGCAGTGATTTTGTGCCGTTTAGTGCACATTCTTCTCCATATTCAACTTCAACATCTTATTTTCCTTACAAATTTTTGATTGCAATGTTTACTTTAACACTTTTGGTCATTTATGCTTATCGACGAAAAAAGTTGATCAGAACTGTAAAGCAGCACTCAGTTTTAGATCGAGCGGTAAGTTTAAAATAATTCTTAGGTACATATGCATGTACAATAGCTTCATTATTCAACTGCTGTCTTAATTTAATCTTTGAAAAAAGCCATGAACTCATCATAATAGCTAACTCTTACTTAGCCATAGTATTAGTTCCAGAAAAGAATAATTTCAGCAAAGACAAGTTGTAGTAATAAGCTAAATTCAGAGCGTCAAATTGAGAAATCTTTTGAATTTAAAGTCATTCAAATATAAAAAAGAATTCTTCATTAGGGCTTTCGACCATTACGAACTGATGATCCAGAAACATCTGATGACGAATCAGAAGATGATACCATAATCGCACGAGCAAATCTGGGTCATAAGTTTTGATCAGTGTTCTCTGGCTGAACTTTAAATTATTCATAATTTAATGCTTAAACTAGCCTTTTAACAGGCAGGAATTCTTAGCAAAACTTCATAAAGTACATCAAAGTCTAAATTATATATATATATATATATAATATTTCTTAATCAATAGGGAATCAGAACGATATAATACAAATGTATTGTGAAGGAATACTTTTTTGTCATTCTATGCAATACAAAAATATCTGTGTTGTTGTATCAAGACGTTGTAATATATTATTATATGACATTTTTGATTGAATAAAATTGTAAAAAGTGAAATAAAAAATTGTAAAAAAATTCACAATTTTTTGTCATTTAAGAGTATTGCATTGGTAAGGATATGTTTGGTAGCTAGTATAAAAGAGCATTACAGTAATATTTATTATCTTAATTAGACATTTTTTGCATTTAGCACATACTTTTATTGTTGCATTTGTGCAATTTAGCTGTATTTGACAGTGAATAGTTAAATATGACTGTTAACCATTACGTACTTACTACCTTGCATCACTCAGAAATTCCTTTCACTCACTTTATTCTCTTCATTCCATCATGCGTTTTGAGTTTCTTTGAGATTTTTTACTACTTTTCCGTTTGTTTTCTAGACGTCAGCTCTTCTCTTACTGCATTCTGCAACTCAATTCAGGTTCAATTCACTCATCGATTTCTCTCATATCTGATTTGCTTATAATGTAATTCAAAAATTTCTGCAAGCAGAACGCAGGTTAACAATTCATAGAAGTGTGCAACATTTTGTGCATTTTCATCTTTCACGTGCAAATCATCTTGTGTAGAATATTTTTGCATTACTGATCACGTAATTCACATTTTTCATATCAATAAAAGATGTAATGGAATGAACTCTTGAAGTAATAATAATTTTTGCTAGTTTGTCTTTCAGCACACACAGTAAAATAGTATATGCATTTGGTCTTATCGTTAACTCAACATAAAAATGTATGTGTTCTTCTAAATTTGTGTGCATATTCGAGCATACATACAGACAAATACACATATACATATATAAATTCAAAAAAACTAAGCACTGAAAAAGAATTGAGAATAATATCTGAAAATAGTATGTGAGTGAAAACATACGCATCAGAATGTGATCAAAAGATGTGGCTGTAAAGATTTATAAACGAAATAACAAAGGAGAAGTAAGACAAATTAAGAGCATTTTCTTATACAGAGGAAATTCGATAGTATATATTACTAGCAAGGATGAGGAAGGCAAGGGAGTGAATAAATGAATATATGCATAATAAAACACGCAAGATGTGAAGTAGTATGACAAGGTAGTAGGATGCTTCAAGCAGACAGATTCAAAATGAGTATTCACAGAAGCACCAGAGTGGAAAACCTCAGATTAATTGCACACGCGCTATTATTTATTGGTAACTCGTCTGTGCAGTCTGTGAGCATTTATGTGATGTGTATGTGTGTGTGTGTGCAGCAGGTAAAGATATATATATATATGCGTGTACAGGCTGTTATAAATGCCGCGCATTGTGTATGTTACTCAAGTAGCCATTGTTAACGCCAAACTCACTCACTCTATTCAATCGCTGTCGACATCTTCACTTATCAAGTGAGTGTATGCGTGCATTTTTATTTTGACTTGCATGTTGACAACAGCTATCGATGTATGTTTGTTGTACATATTTAAATTGAAAGCAGTCTATATGTACAATACAGTGTGAATATAATATAAAAGAAACGCTAGCATAGGTGACGCGACATATGTCTGTTAATTTTCAGTGCTTTATGTATGTAAAATATATACATGAAGAGAATAAACAAACGTACGTGCGCGTATTTCAGACTTGTTATGTACATATGTGTATCTGTTTTATATGCGTGAAAACAGATGTTCGAACGAATTGCGTACCTAACAATGGAATTGTATGGATAGATGAGCACATTACGAGTGCGTAAATAATGTAGATGTAAGAGGATAGTAGAGGGGGAAAGGATAGGTGAATAAATGAATGAATGGATGAATGAATGAATGGATGAATGGATGAATGAATAATACATTCAGTCAGTCATTTATTCTTCACTCATTCTATCTTGCTGTCCTATAAATTTGAGCTTGGCATCATAAATATGCGTGATGCAGGTAAAGAGAGAACGGAGAAAGAGTACAAAAACAGAGAAGAGAAGAGAGCTATAGGTTCCATCGACAAAAGAAGCAGTACACAAAGAGGACGTGCGAGGGAGAAGAGATTCTCCCTTGCACGTCCTCTTTTCATTAATACTCACCTTTTTAGCCTGTTTTTTTCTTGCATATGTAACATGGATACACGTTTTGTTATGCAAAACGTAAACTCTAACGTGATGATTGCGCAGGTACATTGATTACGTGGTAAGCGGTAATTTTGCATTATTGTACTCCTGTTCATCCTTCACTCTTTCAACTCTTGCTCTCTGGCATACGTATGTGCGAAATGCATATAACTCTTTTTATGTATGTCGTGATTTTGTTCAACGTATTACACGTACTGAAGAAAGACACTGAAGATGAGATAAAGAGATACGCGATTTTGGTTAGATATTCTTTCTATGCATAATGGCCATAATAAGTGCTTACATTTCGTCAATCATATGTTGTAGATATCGTTGTCATTACAAATTAGTGCCTTAAGCATGCTAATCTTCCGGTTTCTCAAGACTAATTTTAGCTGACTCAAATTAGCGTTTACTTGACTTTCCTTTTTTGCTTGATTTAATCTTACTTCATTTTACTTATGCTAAGCATTTTGTCGCATGTAATACTAGCATCAGTCAGCGTGCGTATTTATGAATGCAGCTTTTAAGTTTAGAGAAGTAAATGCTTTTTTTTTCAGGAGCATTTGAATAGTGGCACGTGGCATGTTTATTATTTGTGAGTAGCCTACTATCAATCAGTAATCAGTAATGAGCTCAGGGTGGAATCCAGTAATGGATGAAGCAGACGACTATGTGCCGCAAATCTCGCAGCTTGACTATTCGCTTGTAGGGAACGGACAAGGTGTTTTGCACAATGATTCAGGAATCTACGCTCCTCCTCCACCTCAGATGTCGTTACAGCATCTTCCTTATGCAGCAGTCCCAGGTGCCGCTAGCGAGCCGTCTGTCATGCATCCTTGTGCAATCACACCTCACATTATTCCTCAGCAACAGGTAATCATTACCTGTTGTTTAGTACTCTACGGGGATTAATTGATGGCATTTGATCTAGAAAAAAATATTCATGTACCGCTCATGCATATGATTTCCAACTTGTAATTATTGTAGGTGATGACCGCAGCTAGTCAGATGCCTCCACCAGTTGTAACAAAGCCTAAGGTTCAGAGACGACGTAAAAACGCTGCTAATATCGAGCAGCAGCAAGTAGTTCAAAGTCAGACTATGCTTCCAGCATCTCCGATGCCACCGAGACAGCAGCACTACATAAGCAATATGACGCCAATGCAGAGTATGGCAGCCATGTCCCAAAATCCATTGATGTCACATTTGCATGCTTCATCTCCAGCAACGCAGATGCAGCAGCAACAGCAACAAGTGATGCCTGGTAAGCATCAGGGAGTGACTGACGTGACTTCATCACCCATTCGACATCCGGGTTTGCCCCCTAATGTTCATGATCCATACCAACAGCAGCATTGGTATCAGCAGCAGCAGCACCAGCAGCAACAACAACAACACTTTCGAGTTCTTAGCAGTTATGCTGCGCAGCATCAAATGTATGCAAATGCGCAACGTCAGATTGTAAACCATCCGGTACCTCCTCCACAGCAACAGTCTTATTACACACAGCAACAGCAGGACGCGCCAAATCCGATATACTATCAACAGTCGCAGCAGCAACAGTCGTATGAGCAGGTCCCACGTTATCCGCCGCCTATCAGTCCTCAGCTTGCTCAACAGTATTACACGGATCAAGCCCAGGCTTTTTATCCATCTCAGAGTCACATAATACAACCGCAACATTCGTCACATTCTGCGGCCATGCCACCAGTGCATCAGCAACCATCTTCGGTATCTGCAGACTGGCAACAGCATACTTCCAGTGTGCAGCAACGCTATCCTTCGCAGACTCAATATCCCACGCCGTCTGCTGGAATTCAAATTGAGATTCAACAGGTAGCTTACATTTCATCACCGCTACGTCAAACATTCCCTCTTCTCCTTTTTGCAGGCTTTTCGAAGTTTTCGTCCGTTTTGTGCAGTTTTGCATTGTTGATGGAGTTAATTATCACTATCATACTCCAACTTTTTTTTAACGATACCATCATGATGCTTTATTTCAAAAAGAAACAGTAAACAGGTTTGGACAAAAAATTTTTTAACGGTAATAAACAAGGTGTTGTGTTCTACATTTCCAGGGACTTAAAAATTTGCATTTTTTATAATGAAAATTACGGTCACTAAGTAAGAGTCTCATTGTCATAAATATGCATTCGCTGCATTCAGTTGCATCTAGTATCTCCTGTTTAGTTTTCATCCTTAACAGAGCATGTTTTTAGGTGCAACAGCAATTACAATCAATGTACGAAATCCCAAACAGAACCATGCAAACAGCCCAGCAGATCGAGCAGTTGCAACTTCGTTTGCAGTACTTGCAACAGTGCTACATGAATGAATGCCATGGAGGTGCGCAGCGGAGTGAACAACCTGTATCTGTTATGCAGCGTGGTTCAGAAGTGCAGGTATTATCAGTACAATGTAATTCGGATTATTCATTTTTTGTTGTTCTTGTAAAATATTTTCGCATACTTACTAACTTGTGTGAAAAGATTGAATAACCTGTTGTCCACCTCAAATATATGAAATTTTGAGGAGTATAGGAGTTGACCTGTTGTCTATATAAATATTTAGTTAGCACATTCATGTATTTTCTTATTGTAAAACTTTTTTTGATGTTTTTCAAATTGTAGATAGCTCTGATAAAATCCAGAGTCTTTACAGGTGAATATAAAACCCGATGTACCAGGTCACACTCTTATTAGCGTCTATCACCAATATCCTCCAAATTCAACGTCAGCATCGAGTATTTTGCCAACAGAAAATGTGATTACAAAAGATTGTATTCCTCCAGAACCTATTCCATCACGTGTTCGTACTCCTGTTGAAGATCCACCTGCACCAACTACCATAAATTCTACAATTAACAATGTTACAAGTACAATGAGTAGTCAAATGCCATTTATAGGAACTCAAACACCTATCATATCAAATGCAAGCGATGCAACACCTTTGGTGTATAATGTGCATCAACATCAAGGTTTATTTCAGCCTGTTATAAACCCTGGTGCCACTGTAATAGCACCGAAATATCAAGACACTTCCAGCTTTGAGTTATCCAAATCACAACGGCAGCAATCTGATGAGAGTAGATCCCAATTTAACCGAGAATCAGAAACTTCTAATGAGCTTTCTACTGCTCTTTCTAGTAACACTGCTGTAAACAGGGTTGTAGTTTCGGGAATAAATGACCGACATGCATCAGATCAGTACAAAGTGAGTGTTTCAATAGCAAAAGCGGAAGAAAGAGACGATGAACTTGCTAGAGAAATGAGACGAGTAGAAATGATGGATTCACTTATGACAAATCCCAGAAACGAATTGGCATGTAATGTACATACATATAACTCAGAGACTGGTCTTCCATCTGAGGAATTATGTGATGTGGAAGAAAGTAAAATTAGCGGAGAAGCAAGGATTAATAATAAAGATGTATCTCAAGTTTGTAAAACTGATGAAGAATCCAAAGATGAATTTGTTTTGAAAATGGAAGTTGATGTGCAAGATCCTACTAATAATGAATTAAGCTGTGAGAGAAGGTCTGACAATGAAAGGACGAAATTTAAAGAAAGGACAGCTAATAAATTGTTTCGTGAGAGTAGAAGTGTAAAGGTAGAAAGAATAGATATGAGTGAAAGGCAAGAAGATATGTCAGATATGGAAGCAGATAATAGTAGACCTGAATTTAGTATTTGGAGGAGTTGTGAAGATGAAGCTAAAAGAACGGTCAATGATCCACGGGGGGAAGATATCGATGAAGATGAAGAGCACACAGAAATTTCAACGGAAGCAGCAACATTTGCTCAGGAAAGCACTGCAGAGGAAGAAAAAGCGGGAAGAAGTGAGTTGGATGCATCATCCACGTCGGAAGTGCCGAGGAGAAAAAGAGGACGACAACCAAAACGAGTTCAAAATAGGAAACGAAAACTAAAAGAAGTAAGGATGGAAACAGAAGTAGATGAAGATTTTGTACCAGAATCAAGCCGGAATAGCAAGAGACTTCGTACCAGGCGACGAGCAGCACGAGAACGTGAAGATACTCCTTTCGAATATGTCGAAAAACGACGATCCGGTAGAACAACTAATGTAGGGAAGAAAAGCTATGATTTGCAAGCAAAGTGGGACGAAATGGATGAAGAAATTGGAGATGATGTCGGAAGTCAAAAAGAGAAAAAAAATGAAGATCAGAGTGAGTTTATTATAGAAAAAATAATGGGAGTGAGGAAGAACGAAAATGGATCTGACTCCTACTTTGTGAAATACAAAAATAAGGCATATATTCATTGCGAATGGAAATCTCAGGAAGAACTAATCGCTGGGGATCGACGAGCAGCCGCAAAACTGAAACGTTTCCATCAGAAACGAGCACAGAATTCGGATCAAGATGAAGAAGAACAGTTTAACAGCGATTTCGTGGTTGTTGAGCGAATTTTGGATGCTAATAAGTTCGATGGGAAGGATTTTGTGCTTGTTAAGTGGAAATCATTGCCTTATGAAGACGTTACGTGGGAAAAAATGGAAATCATTCCTCAAGACAAAATTGAAGCATACAAACAACGAAATGCATATAATCCTCTGAAAGTGAAGCTGAAACCCCGGCCATCAGCATCAGATTGGCGTAAAATCCCGGAAGATATAATATTTAAAGATGGTAACCAGCTACGAGAATATCAGTTCGAAGGTGTAAATTGGCTTCTGTACTGTTATTACAATAAGCAAAATTGCATTCTTGCTGATGAAATGGGTTTAGGAAAAACTGTTCAAACAATATGTTTCCTACAACGTATTTTTGATTATGGAATCCATGGACCATTCCTGATTGTTGTTCCTTTATCTACAATCCACAACTGGCAACGCGAATTTGAAACATGGACCGACATGAATACTGTGGTTTATCATGGAAGTGCATCTAGTCGTCAGATTATCCAACAAACGGAATTTTTTTATCATCCAGAAGAAATTAAAGGAACTAAGCGTAACATTGTTAAATTCGATGCTCTGATCACAACTTTCGAAATGGTTGTTAGCGATTGTGATATTTTAAAGCAAATCAATTACCAAGTGTGCATAATTGATGAAGCACATCGATTAAAGAATCGGAATTGCAAATTGCTCACAAGTGGATTGCTTTCATTAACGGCAGAGCATCGTGTATTACTCACTGGTACACCCTTACAAAACAATATCGAGGAGCTGTACTCACTATTAAATTTTCTGGAACCAGAGCAGTTTCATAGTTCATCAGCTTTTCTAGAACAATTTGGACAGTGTCAAACAGAAGATCAGGTGCAACGTTTACAAGAGATCTTGAAACCGATGATGCTACGTCGACTCAAGGAAGATGTTGAGAAGACGTTACAACCAAAAGAAGAAACTATTATTGAGGTAATTTATCTTTGATGTATGATAAGTTAGAAAATATCGAGTTTGAACAATTCACGTCCTTGAAATATTTGCAACATTACTGTCCTAAAAACAATATTTCTTCAATCGTGACTTTGTAGGTCCAGTTGTCGAATACACAAAAGAAATATTATCGAGCAATACTGGAAAGGAATTTCTCACATCTTTGCAAGGGTACATCCGTACCTTCATTGATGAATGCCATGATGGAATTACGAAAGTGCTGTAATCATCCGTTTCTTATAAATGGTCTGTCACAATTACTTGTCATGTCCATTTCCAAAATTTTCATATCTTAAAATCTGATGAAATTTTTAATTATCTTTAGGATCTGTAGCTTTTGTGTTATATTGAAAGGAATTTAGAAAGAGAATATTAGATCGTCTAGATTTCAGGCGCTGAAGAACAAATTCTCACTGAAATCAAATCAGGCCATCCTGAGTGGAATGAGGATGATGTTTATCAGCATGCTTTGGTACAGTCATCAGGGAAATTGGTTTTAATTGCAAAATTGTTGCCGAAATTGCATGCAGATGGTCACAAAGTATTGATATTTTCGCAGATGGTCCGTGTTTTGGACATAATCGAGGAATTTCTCGTCGCTCAAAAGTTAGTTTAACGGTTCAACTTCCATAACAATCCTCTGCTTCATTTTGCTTCATATTGCATCATTTTAGTTATACTTTTGAACGAATTGATGGTAACGTCCGTGGAGATTTGAGACAAAGTGCTATCGATCGTTTCAGTAAAAAAGGTAATATTTTAATTGCAATCCCGAATTTTGACGAATAAGGCAAGCTCCTGCCTGCCTTATTCATCAAAGTTCTATATTTGATTTAATCTTCTATATTGGATTTAATCCCATTCAGTTACTGAGAGCATATATCTGTAAGCAAATCTAAAAAATTTCCTTTTCTAACTACTTATGTATTATTCTCATGTCCATTTGCAGATTCAGATCGTTTCATTTTCTTGCTTTGTACTCGTGCTGGTGGTCTGGGTATCAATTTAACTGCAGCTGATACTGTAATAATTTTTGATTCAGACTGGAATCCACAGAATGATTTGCAGGTCAGTATTGAAACTTTAAAACAAAACTCATTTTAATTTTTACATAGCTAATTGACATGCTAGTGTAATTCTATTTTTATACCTATGAGGATGCCTCTTTTTTTCTTTTCATATTTCTTCTTTTAAGGCACAAGCTCGATGTCACCGGATTGGTCAGACGAAAATGGTGAAGGTATACCGTCTGATTACTTGTAACACATATGAACGCGAAATGTTCGATAAAGCATCACTAAAACTGGGCTTAGATAGAGCTGTTTTACAGTCTACTACTGCAATGAAGGATACATCAGTAAGTTTTCCTTCATTTTTTAAATATCATTTTTTCTTAAACAGGGCTTAATTGTTGTTTGCTTATAGCAGCAGTTATCACGGAAGGAAATTGAAGAATTGCTTAAAAAAGGAGCTTATGGAGCCATTATGGAGGAGAATGCTGAGGAAAGTAAATTTAATGAAGAAGATATTGAGACAATTCTTCTACGTCGAACAACCACTATAACACTTGAAGTATGTGTAAAAACTTTTTAAACATTGCTCTTCCAAAAGGTTCTCATGATATCAGTAAAAGTTTTGGTCTTCTAAGTTTTACCGAAGAGAACTTAGTTTTCATCAAGTTCACTTCATTGTTAAATCATTTCTATATATTAGTAGTTAATGAAACCTCTCATTTTTCATAGTTTTTCTGTGATTGTTATTCAGGCAGGTATAAAAGGATCAACATTTGCGAAAGCATCTTTCAATTCATCCACAAACCGAGAAGATATTGACATTGATGACCCTAACTTCTGGTCAAAGTGGGCTAAAAAAGCAAATATTGATACGGAAATGAGTCAAGTTGACAAACAGCTTATTGTACTTGAGCCACGAAATCGGAAGAAGAGGTTAATTTATGGTATTTTTTTATTAAGAATTTCAGTTCATTGAAGTGATTAATAATATCAAAGTTTTACACACGATAAAACCATTTGTCTACCAATATCAGTCTTTTGTAATATATACGGATTTGTCATTTTAATTTTAGGTTTGAAGACAGTGTTTATAAGTCTGAAGGAGGGGATGATACTGATGGTGAAGACAGTGATGATAGTAATAAAGGTCGAAAACGTGGAGACCGTAAAAGTGATCGGAAGAAACGTCGTGAGGATGAAGAGTATCGACCCGATGAGCTAGCTTTCAATAAAAGTGAATACTTTAAGGTAATCTTGTTCACCGCGATCAGCAGTTTTCATCCTTCACTTCATTATAAGATTATTTATCGTTTATTATTTTAATCTCTTTCATCTTTTGTTTTATTTAAAAACATTTCAAAAAAGTTTTAAATGTTTAGATTGAAAAAGTATTGGGACAATTTGGTTGGGGTCGATGGAAAGTAATGCGAGAAGCGTGCGATGTAAAGGACAGCGTAACTGAAATTGATATTGAGCATATTTCAAGGTTGCTTTGTGGTTTCGGAAGTAATGTAGAATGCAGTTACAATAGGAACTTTTTTCGGGAAGATAAACTTTGTGTCATCTTATTACATGAACTGGGAAAATTTTTTGAGTATAATTTTGGTAAAGTAACTACTCTAATAATTCTCTTAGTTTTAATTCCAAAAAGTATTTTGTATCCTTCATGTTTTAGTCAGTCATTATTAGGTATTCAAATTTCCAAACTCTTTTTGGAACAAATAAAGCTATTCATATCAGTAATGCTCATTAAAGCTCCTCCTGTGGCATTCGTTAATACGTTTCCAAATGCAGGACATTGTTGTTGCACTGTATTCGTGAATACCGTGGTGATGAAAAAATTCGAGAATTTGTTTGGCGGTTGATAATTCCAAAAGGTGGTTTAGTAGTTGGCAAGAACACAAACAAAAAGAAAAACACTGGTTTGACTTCAGTGTTTCATGAAGGTTGGGCTGCATTACCAGAATATAATCCCCCGGCTTTTGCTGTCGATTCATCTTTCCAGCGTCATGTCCATCGTCATTCGAATAAGTTATTAATTCGAATGCATCAGCTTCACATTCTTAATACTGAAGTACGTTTGTGATTTTTTTGTAAGAAATTTTCAATATAGTATGACTTATACTAAGCAAACAAAAGATGAGTTTTTTTTTTTTTTTGAATAATTAGATCTAGCTTTTTTGTTGTTTTTATTTTAAGTTTGAACAACACTAGATGCTTTAACATATTTTGCAAGCGTTTGGATAATTTCGTGTTTTCTATATGTTGAAAATTCTTGTTAAATGTCAGCAAATTCCTCACTTTCGAATCACAAATTATAAAATTTGCAAAATTTTTCGTCGTAGAAACAGTAATTTCATCAACTTATTTTCCTTTCTTGTTGCTATATAAGAACGATTAAATGTAAATCCTCTATTAGTTTTTAGATAATCGGTAGTAAAAGTGGAGCAATCATGAACAATGCAAAGGCAGAGGAAATCGATTTGAAAATTGATATGAAAGATGCATTCGTTAATGGCTGGGATAATGAATGTGATAAGAATTTTTTGATTGGAGCTCATAAACATGGTAGGTGATAAATTCTTTTCTTTATAAATATCTTTTTTGAGAAAATAAGTTTGTACAAAAATCAGTCAGATATTGGATTTTTCAATTGAAGTACTCGTTGAATTTAAGTATTTGAAATTTAATCACACGCATCATGTTTTTATGAATAATAGTCCCTTATTCGTATTTCAAAATAATACGAATGAGCAAGCTACTCAAGACTAGTTAAAATTTTTTATTTATTGCATTATTAGGGAAGTTGCTCTATTAACATTGTGGATGTTTTTCTTCTAACTAATGGATAATTTGTAATATTTTTTCTCACAGCTGTTTAACATTGTAGTATTTTAGTTGTAAAGTTTGATCATATTTTATCAGTTGTAAGCTGATACTGAAAAAAGGGAATTATAGGTCTTGAAAATATCGATGCTATGCGTGCTGATCAGGCGCTATGTTTGGGGTCAAAGAAAATTGAAGTTTTTCCAAATGTAACTGATTTGTTAAACCGTTTCCGACGTCTTTTGACATATTTTCAAAGGAAGCGGCATAACTCGTGCACTTCGTAAGTTATTATTTCTTGAATTTCAATAAATTGGTTTTTGAGTTTAGATAAGAATTCCTCCCTCTAAATTATTAATTTTACATCTTATTCATTATCTAAGCTGGACGAAGCGCGAAGAAGCGGAATTTATGCGTGTATTGAGAAGCTACGGTGTCAAGGATGATCCATTAACGATCATTTCTTGGACTCGTTTTCGGCAGCTTTCTCCAATATTAGAAAAGAAGACAGATAGTGATTTAATGGAACAGTTGTATTGTATATTATCCATGTGTACAAAGCAGCTTGGTAATGAAATGACAGCTGTTGACTTGCAACGAGCATTGAAAGTTAGTTCTGCTTATTATTAGCTACTCATATACATTTGAGAAACATAATAGTTTTAGTTTTTAGAAATACAGAAATTAATATATTTCTAAAAGTCAGTATTATGAAGTATACAATGACAGTTAAACAAATTGCTCTGCATTCAGTTTATCTTCTCTTTTATTGTATTTTTGCTAGAATAATTACAGGTTGAGTCAATTTCGTCACGGAAGGCGCAAAAATTGATGCATAGAATGAATATGATGCGCCAAATTCACGACTGGCGAGAAACGTTGACTGATCGACGGGAATTACTAAAAATTTGCTCAAATGAAGCAATGCCAAGTGGTTGGTCAATTGAACATGACGAAGAATTATTCAGGATTGTTGACGAAAATGGTTTGGATAGTATTGCTACTAACATCCATAGTAATCCACTTTTTCAGAAGGTTAGAGTGCGCTTTGATTGTTTTTTTATTATTTTCAGATTAACATATGATAGATTTTTAATTTTCAATCTTTTCATACTGTAGATAACGAAACTAGAAGAACGGACCTTATTGCGGCGTGTTGCGGAGATTTATGCGACTTTTCAAACAAAAAAATGGAACGGAACTGCTTCTACTGATTTGCTGGAAGATTCTGGTTAGTGAAAAAATCATTTCAATTTTTAAAACCCAAATCTAATTTAATTCTGTCAATGTTATGTTGAAACGAAAATATTTTGCTCATTTTTTAGATGATGACGGGAGTACTCCAGTATTGTTACGTTCGAGACGAGGACGAAAAAAAAATACCATGCCAGGCACAGCCATACAAGATTTGGTTGACGTTGAGAAAGAGAAAATGCGTGCTTTGGTTCATCAGACATTTTTACATAGGGTTTGTTTATGCTTTCAGAAGAATTCGAGGCACTTTGTATTTTGTTTTAATAAGGATCTTTTTAGCTCGAACAACTTCCATTCGCTGCAGCAGCGGCTATGGCACAAGGTGCATTTTTATTACCATCACTTCTGTCTGGTAGTAGCGGAGTTCCTTCTTCATCATCATCTGCATCAACTCAATCTCAAGCAGCAGTGCTTTCAAGTTTATTTGGATTAGCTTCTGCACAATCTTCATTGTCATCCACTGCAAATACCTCTAAGAAAGACGATTATACTGAAGATGCATTGAATCTGAGTACGAAAAATATACCAGTTACCAGCAGTAGCAGTTTGAGTCAACTACCCACTACTACAGTATCAACTTCTTCCACAAATCTCTTGAATAATTTGAATATTTCAGAACTGTTTGCACTCGCGAACTTACCTCCAGGTATATTGCTTGTTTATAATTATACAAACTAAAACCCTAACCATTGTAAACTACAATGTTTTATTTGTTCAGGAATCAATGCTGCAATACGTATCTTTTCAGAGACTCGTTTGCCCGTAGTTAACATTGAAACAGGTGCCAGATTAGTTGGTGAGCAAGCACCAAAAGTGAAAAATCTTGGACCGTGGTTGTCAGCGCACCCTAAATATGTTCTAGATATACCATCGCCAGCGGCTTCCGCTGTTCCTCCCGTGCTTCAGTCAGCATCTTTAAAACGTACAGAAAAAGAGAGTAAAGCTATATCAGCTACGCAAGATAAAAGTAGTGCAAATAAAGAAGGCAGTATGGATTCGCTATCTAAGGTTTTTTTCACAGTTTTTAAATTTTTCCTCTCACTAGATGCAGAAAAAATTTTTCATCGGTATTTATCGTTTTTAATAAATGTTTCAGGTAATTGTCTGTTATCTAGTTGTAGAAGGATTTGTTCTAATTCAACTTACAAAGCAATTTTATTGTTGATATTATAGGAAACGACGGCGACACAAAGCATTCCAAGTTCATCTAAGGCAACAGCTACGGCGTTAATCTTAGAACCAGGCGAAGTCCCTCGCACTTCACCTTCAACTAGTACTGTTAATATCTCATCCGCAACTTCTATTTCTTCTACGGCTCTTACTGATCAGCGAGTTGCCGTCTTTCAACGTTCATCTGGGACATTGGTTTCGGCTGATAAATGGCCACTGTTAAAGAATCTTGTTTCCTGGCTTGACAAGCATCCGGAATACAACGTACACTCAAGTAGTACATCAGTTGCTGCTGTATGTTATCAAATTTTAAATTCGTGTTTCTTAATAGTTGAATTTAAATTATACAGAGATTTGAGACCAGTCCTTTTTCATTTCATTTCAGTGACGTGGTTCATTCGAGTTATATACTTGTAAAGCTTTGTTTTTTATAATGCTGAAGATCAAAAACATTCTTCAAACATTTGATCTTAATTTCAGACAGTTTTGCCTAAGAATTACTCTAATCGATTAGGTGGTGATACTGCTCTCTCGACATCATCGACAAACAGTTTGGAGGCGTTGCAAATGCAGATGATGTTACAGCAGTCGTTAATGAATCAAACTCTTCTTGGATTAGGAGCTTACAGTTCATTGGGATCATATGCGATGCTTGCAGCTGCAGCATCTGGTTCTATGCAGTTAAATAAGGTTAGTGCCTATAAGTTATAGGTATTCCTTAATTGATTTCGTTAAATATGCACTTGTCAGATTTGTGCCCCTGCAAAATTCGAATTTGCAAGAGATTACTGGTTTTTCGAAATTCTGTGTTCTCTTTTCTAAAGAAAGCACTGTATTAAAACGTAGTAATTTGATAAATCAGGAAGAAAAGATAACAGTACCGACGAATTCATGATTATCAGCAAATTATATAACTCGGCTAATATTTTTAAAACACTCGATCTTATAGACTTTTTGAAGTAAATAATGTTGCAGGGCTCATCAAAAGATGCATTGAATCCTATGCTTGCGTCTCTAATGAATCCATCGTTACACATGCAGCAAATGCAGTCACTGTTAACATTGGATCCATCGCTTCTCCTCAGTCAAGCACTATCTTCGAATGCTAGTAGTGCACCTTCGATCGCGAATGTGAGTGTTTCAGCACATACGACAAAACCATCTACTACGTGTACTACTACTGTTCCTTCTACCACAGCAAAGAAAACATCAAGTAAAGGCCGTTTAAATGCTGTTGTAGAAAAATTGTCATCAAATCAAAGTTGAGTATTGTTGGTATGAATTCCAGATAGTTGTGTTTTTTACGGGTAGCTAGTATTGCAGAATGCGGTAATTTTACTACTTATGCCATAATGGAAGAGGTTTATGTCAAATTTTCAGTTGAGTTTATGAATAGGATCTACATTGAGATATTTGTCAAGATTAATTGGTTTCGACTTTGTCTTAAGTTGCAGTGAAAAGCTACCCTTTTAAAAATTTCTGTTTCTTGAGTAGGTTTTAACGTTTTCAATTCAGTTCGTTTCGATCTCCGTATATTTAGACATACCTTTCTTCTGTTAGGTACTTATTTGTTATATTTTTTGAATTCAGAAATGGTTGAATTAATTTTCTTCTGGTGAAAAAAGATTAATGTAGAAAAAAGTAGGCTAACAGTTTGTCTGATCTCGTCTTTTCTTGTTGACAGTGTTTTGTAAGGGTAATTATTGCAATGCTTTTAATGTCATGTTCATTTAAAAATGTTATTTTCTGTAGTGTTTTGAGGAAATGGTATGTTAGCAGATTTTAATTAAATGAAAACTGCTGATTGATTGGAAAAGCTAATGTGTTAAGCAAAGAAGTTTGAGTTTTATTGACCTATATGTAATCTCAGTACCATTTCTTCTCCAAATTCATGGAATGGAAAAGGATATGTTAACTTATTGACCTGTGGTATTGTTTTAAAGCATCATTATCTGTGAAACGCGATTATGCAAATTGTTTGTGAAAGTAAGCCTTATTGTGAGCGTTTTTGTATAGTGTTGAATTCATACCGTACTATTCTTAAAATATGATCCGTTGTAAATTTTTTTTTCGTTCTTGTCTGCCAGGCATTAATGAGAAATGTTTTGAAAAGTGTTACAAATTTTTACTCGAGCAGTAAATTAATAAACTGAATGTCTCATCTTAGATTTTATGGTGGATGCAAACTCTTGATGTTAATCTAGGGACATAAATACACTTGCAGATCGGTATTATAGATGCTGTATGGTTTGAAATGAGGTGGTGTGTATATGCAGTCTTGAAGTATTTGGGCACGTGGTTATTGGTGGTTGCAAAAATGGTCTTCTGACATTATGTTAATATATTTGTTTGTTTGTTTAGTTTTATTTTTTGGGTGAGTAATATCTGAATAATCACTATTCGATAGTTCATTGAGTTTCGTTTGTCGTGGCAATTTGTAATCGTTGGGGTGAGAGGTATTGTCTTTGTAATTAGCATATTTAGTTAGTGACGTTTCAAAAGTGGTTATTTATATGCATAATTTGGGTAGTCTGGAAAATGAAACATTAAATAGATCTAAATGGCAATTGATTGTATGTAGTCCTGCATTTTTTGATGATAGTTTTGTGTAGTATAATCAGATGGGATTATTGAGTTTCATATGTGTTGAAAATGAATATTGTATATAAATAGAGAGGGAATGTGAGAAATGAAGAGAAGTGGGATGCATGAAGGAGTGTTATATTGTTCGCGGGAAACTATGTTTGTATATAGGGCGTCTTTTCATACTCGTTTCAAGAAGGAATTTTCCGAGAGCTACGCTTGTGCAATAGCTTATACTCGTATGTAGTACAGTTTTGCAACTTATCATTACCTGACCTTAGTATTGATTAATTCATTCGTTCGCTCAGTTAATCAATCAGGAGTTTGTTTGTTTTTTCTTTTCTGGTGGTCAGGTGAGTAGTACTCAAAGACGTTCTGTTTGCAAGTGAATAGACATTACAGAAGCAGAGTGAAGCTGCACTATCCTTCCTCCCCATTTTGACCCATTTACTTAATCTTTTTTGGAATGTCACTCAGTGTTATCGAATCCAAGAGTTATCAACCATATTGCCATCAACATTTATTGCTGCTTCTGCTATTCGTTCGTTCTCTTCTATTGATATTCATTAGGCTTTTGTATTAATTGTGTCTTGAAATTATTCCATTTTAATTTTGGAGTTATAACTACTTGTTGGTAGTGTAATCCAGCATTACATCTTTTGGATGCATTCAGATGGATAGATAGATGTATATAGCTGATAGTATTCTACTTCAGCTTTTATCGTAATAGATTCTGTGGGTCACATTTTAGAAACAGAAGTTGATAAGGAAAGTGTGAAGTAGTTTATTGAATGGGTAGTGTGAAATAAAGCTATTTGATTGGTGTTGTATTTATGGTGAGTATGGATTGAAGGAAGTCACATTAGAGACGGATAGAGAATAGAAGATATTTGGGCAGTGATAAATGTGGTTGGTACATGTTGTGTAATGATGATTTTTGACGATTTATTTTCATACTTAATAGTGTATAGAATAATTGTCAAGTCCTATTTATCAAATTCGAGCGCTTAAAATATTTTGATTCACAATTTGCATTGTTTTCAGTTTTATTCTAATGGATTCCACTTCTACTAATACTGCTGCTAAAATTAATGCGGCTGAAATAATGGAAGCTGCAGACAGTAATGGAACAGATATAACGCACAGAGCTAAAAGCGCTAAAAGTGGGGGGCAGAAAGTAATGAGTGATACTGACAGAAGTAAAAAAGTTGCAAAGAGCAGTGCTAAAAGTGAAAAAAAAGTGACAAATGCTTCTAAAACTAAACAACGGACTGTTGGAGGTAATCAGAGAACTCTTAATATCATTAGATGCATTACTGATTATATGGTCTTAATGGCATTCAGAAAGTACTGCATTAAAGGACGGGGTCAAGCAATTCGAAAACAGTTAGTTTTATGTTTTTAGCGATTTAATTAAATCTTGTCTTTGTTCGCTTTCTTTTTTTTCTTCATATTAGTCAAAATTAGGAGTAGTTCGTGTCTGATAAGCAGTTATTATTTTTGGTAACATGACTTTTTTTTGAAAAGTATTTTCCTATTTCATTAACAAAAGCAATCAGTTCATAGAGCATATGTTTAATTTCCAAAATGATCTCTAGGATACTCAATAAAAATTTTTATGAAGATGTGTTAGACAGAAGGAATATGCAGCAGCTAAATGTGGGCTATTTAAGACCAATAGAGATGTACGAAATTAAATTGGTTTTACAAGAAGTAAGGTTACTCTTCTTTTTTTTCTCACTTTTTCAAAGTATTCTAATAAGCATATTGCTTTGCTACATACCAGTTTTATGTATATGAAAAAAATCAAGTATCTTAGTTACGAAAACGTGGGCTTCTGCTGGATGAGCCCGATGGAATTAATATTCCTGTACTGGAACAATGGTTCATTGATATAGAGTTGGAACTTGAGAACAAAAAAAAAGAGCATACAACCATTTTGAAAGAGCAAGATTTAATGGCATTATTATCTCGACAAACGGGGTATGTTATTGATGTTATAAGTTAAAATGAAATTAGTAAATCGTCGAGAACAATTTTTAACAATTGATAGACTGGTCATTTATTATTATTTTAGACGTTCTTCCACAGTGCAACGAACATCACCTAGAAAGATCCGTGAACTTTATGAGATTCACTCTTTTGCACTTACAGAAAAACAGATTCCGGTTTGTTTACTTCTGTTTTATTCTCTTTTAAGCGTTGCAATACTCTATCTAAATATTTTCTGGTCTCTAAAAGTAAAGATAATGTTTTGTAATTTTTCTCACAAGAAAAAAGAAAAAAACTTTTTCATACTGGTTTCAGTTTATCTCAAAAATGATGCAATTATTCTTTTGCTTGTTCTTAATGAGAATCCTAGAGTTGTGTTGTCTTTAAGGCTTTCTCTCATATATGGTAAGCTTCCAAAAAAAGCTTTATGAAAAATTTTTAGCTGCTTTTTTTGTTAAAAATCGTTCTTATCTACTTCTCTGCAACTTTAGCAGCATCTTATAACATGCGAGTTGCTTTCAGACTACTACTACTGTTGAGAATGTTTAACTTTGGTAGTAAAGGAAGATAGTAATTTAAGAATTTTCTATTCATTTTTATTGTTTTTAAGTTAGAGTTATTTTGTTATTCTAGATTAATTTTTATGACTTGTTCTCATTTTTTCTGTTTTCTGTATTGGATTGGTCTACATTTGTTCTAATTTTTATTATGACTTTTTTTCGAGGCCCATTGTCTTGTTTAGGTCTATTTTATGTGATTTTTCTTTATAATTATAATTAGTGAGATTTTTAGCATAAGTAAAAACTGAGTGGATTTTTAGATTTTTTTAGCTTGAGTCAGAAGTACAAGAGAATTGTATATTATCTGAGATTTTAAAGTTTTTATGGTCGATTTTACTTGTTTTTCAAAAGAGTAATCGTATTTCATAGTAAGGAACTGTTTTTAAAGTTTTATTATGATTTTTAGTATGGCTCATTATTTAGAACTTTTTAGACTTCAATTTGAGTTTTTATTTACGAAAAGTTTGTTACAAATGTGTCTTCTTAACAAATTTTTTGCAGTTAGTATTTTAAATTAATTTATTTGAAGATATTCATGAATGTATATTCAATTCTCTATGAATGGCTTTTATTGAAGTCTTTGAAGTTTTAGAGTGAGGAAGAGAATGCTCAGCGAAGAGAAGTAATTCCTGAAAGTAAACCAGTAGATAACAGTGGATTTAATGATGAGAATAAGCTATTCTGGGATGATGGATTCGCACTAAAGCAATGACAAAATTGCAAAGGATATATTGCTAGCTGCTCTTGGTTTGCATTAGATTATTAAATAGTTAACTACATTACTGACTTTTTCATGACGTTTTTCAGTTCTTACCGAAGCAGTGCATGCAGATGCCATTTATATTTATAATCGTAAAAGCTTGTAAAATAATGATCAGCTAATTTATATTGTTCACTCACTAATTTGTGGCAGGTTGAATTTTAATTTAATTCTACTTCATTATATTCAGTGTTTTGATTTATTACGCTTTGAAAAGCTTAATTAATTCTTATGAGAATGTAAGTGTGAATTTGTGTGATCTTATCTAGTGAAAGTTGAAATAGAAGTCAGCTTCTTGTACTTGATCATTCTTTTCTTTATTTTTTCAAAGTTATTTCCAATTTTTATGATAGACATTATCTTCTTCCATTCTATTCTAACATGCAAGTTTATTGTAGCTTTTGCACTGTCAAACACATTTTGCTTCAGGTCTTTTACTTACCTTACGGATTGATTGAATATTCAGCAGGCTCATTTTTGTTGTACATATCAAAAAATTATTGAAATTTATTATCTTTATTGGATCCTTCTGTTATGAATTTACTTATAAAACATAGTAGTGGAAGAAGTCAATTCAGAATGTTTATGAGTTTTTTATTGAAAGCATTTATTAGAACAGAAAATTCCGAAACTTTATATATGCATGACTTTTCGTTATTTTCAATGTCTTCTTTAATGTTTTAGCCTCTAAGTAATTCATTTGTCTTAAAGCTCTTGTCTTCAAGAAAGCATAATTTTTTTATAAACCATGTTATATAGAGCAGATTGTTTGATATTTAGTTTTATGGTTTTATAGTTTCTCGTAAATATCCTCGTGTATAATTGCTACTGCTACTTAGATATTCGTATAGCTTATTGAATTGTAGTGGTAAAGGATAGACAGGAAAGGAATTTAAATTTTTTCACATCTGCAGTATCTCATATGTTATTCAGGTGTTAGGTGTTTTACATGATCCATCGTTGTTTACTTTGTTATATTTTTTTACATTTTTATGATTTTCTTCAGCATATATGTTGTAGCAAAAACGTTTTATAGTCGCATGATATTGCGAGTGTGCTACTGGTCAGTAATTACTTTCTATCTTTATATTATTGCGCTTATTGCTGTTATTCTTGTTCCAGTGCGCGGTTTATTTTTAAGCAGTTCGATCAAGACTGATTTTATATTTTATTCGTATTTTTTTAACACTTTGCAATCTCGTCACATTCTTATTGATATTTTATTGGAGTTTTATCGTTTTATTAATTTTTTTTTGCATTTGCTATCACGTTTTACTCATTTTTTAATGATCTCACCACATCATTATCATGTACTTATTATTGCGAATGTTAGCGGTGAGATACCACTTTTGCATCATTCTTACTTTTGGTCACAAAATTGTATTTTTTGTGGAAAGAAATTATTATTGTTACCATTTTATATGCTAGCTCTTGGCACGAATTACTGCTGCTCGCAAACTGTACTACTTGTTAAGCTGTTTTTGTAATCGTTTTTGCAGCAAAATACATTTGTGCTTGAATTTACAAGAGTAATTATCTCTTTTTCTTCAATAAAGAAACTGGGATTAAATGATTTTACGTAGTTCTCATTGCAAATAATACCTTCATTTATTAGCTAGCTCGTAATCATAGGAATCCTTTGCCATATCTTATAAAACATCATCTCAGGGAAGGAAACATTGTAACATAGCATCCAGAATATGGGGAAGTTGTGTTTTGGGGGTCGCGTCTTATAATGCTACTTTATATATATGTATTTTAGTATACAGAGCTAAACTTTGAGAGTCATTTTCGAATTACATGAATCTTGACATATTGATATAAATAAACAATATTTCTTTTGCATATATGAGGATTACATATTCCTGAGCAATAATAACGCTTATATATTGATGATCAATCTTGAAGACTTGCAAAGGTATTGAACAAAAATGGTTCCTTCATATATCCATTATTAACAGTAGTGGCGAAGTATGTATTAAAAAAGCTATAGTTTATACTGTACGAATGTCTGATTATTGGTTACTCATGACGGAACATTGGTGCAATTTAAATAATATAAGTAAAGTTTACCACTTCAGAGTGGAATAAGAACTAATGAAAAACTTTCAGCAAATAAAAGACTCCAGAAGAAAGTAAATAACATGGATAGAATAGAAATCTTACCACATATTGGCGCAATGAATCTTACAAAGCTTTTGCCCATTTCAGATCGTCTGTGCGTGGTTTCATTCCTGTCAGAGTAATAACAATGTATTCAGCACCACGCCAGAAACCAATAGCATCTAATGGTTTGTTTAGCCATCCCGTAGTAATGCAATATGCACAAGCATGTGGTGAAATATGATGTAGTTTGTGGTCTTTACGTGATAATATTACGTGCCAGTTTTGTAACATTTTTACCCACGTAGATAATCCTATATACGTATGAGACCATTTGTGGATCTAAAATTTACACTGAATGTACTTTCATAACTCAAATGATAAAAAATAAAAAATGAAATTTACTCAACTTTCCAACTTTTAAATCATAAATTGCTCTCAGTAAACATAAAACTATTCCATCAAACACATCATTTATAATTTTAAAATTTGAACTTTACTATATTTAACGTGTCTAATTAAGGAGGTTTCACAGTGAGATGAACTTTTGGCTGAATTTTCCAATCAACTGTTTATTTTTTAAGTTATTGCAAAAGTTTTTGGAAAACTTTATCAACATATGCAATTTTCTTGCAATTTTTCTTTGCAAGCTTCGATAATAATAATAAGTTATTAAGCTTTGACAAAACGTAAACACCAATTTGAGTACCTGATTAGTGAGTGCAATATAGATGGATAGAAGTAGGTAAAACCAGTGTGAAACCATCAAGTTGTCCAGCTGAGAACTTGGTAACGTTACATGCTGATAAATGATATGAGTGAGTTTTGGTATTATCAATAGGAAATTGTCACCGTTACATTCGATGAAATCATGACGTGTTATGGCTGATGGGTCAATGTGGTGTTCACGAAATGATCTAATAAAGTGCTGAAAACAAATATTATCAATGCATTTATTGCAGCAAAATATATAAAAAAAGACTGTTTTGCATTAGAGCCAGTTAATTTTTAGAAAGTTTATGTATATTTTAGAGAAATTCAACAAATCAAATTGTTTAAAGTTTTAAAATTTAATGCAAAAAAAAATTTGCTAAATTATTTAAAATTATTTTTTTAATTTGCTAAAATTATCGTTCGTTTATGTATTTGAAATAGTTCTTTAATAAAAAGATAAAACTGGCTAATTAATTCTTGAAAAGTTTTCAGAGTTGTTAGTACAATTTTGCTCAGCAAAATAATTAATATAAGAAAATAGAAAAAGTATGAAAGTCAATAACAATATATTTATGTTTAAGTTTAATTACAAAGATTTGCTCAAACTTTTTGTTCATTAGCAGCAATTGTTAGTGAGTGAGAAAAAAAGACAAAGTTCATTAGCATAGTATAATTTTATTCAATCAAACTTAATTACATAAAAATGACCTTGCCAATGAAAGTATCGACGGTACCGAAGGAATCAGCGGCCCAGTGAACAAGACCAGATAGAAAGTCAGCTGTCAGAATGCCGAGAAATGCAAAAAAAAGTACAGAAGATAAAGACGAAATATCAAATCGTTGTATTAATAAAATTATTACGATGAAAATTTCGCTTATACCAATTGCAGTTGATATTGTTTCTTGTAATCGCTTTTCTATAAATCATTGAAAATTTTTAAAAATGAAATTCCTATTTTACATTTCTTTTACAGTATACCTAATCCAAAGATTCTTCATTAAGTATACTTAATGAAGAATCCTTGAATAACTCAAGGATTCTTAAATTAAGCATACTTATATGAGAATACTTTTCTTTGTTAGATGGACAAACATTTAACGAAAATAATAATTATGAACGAAAGTAGGTAGTGGGAATCAATTTTGTGACATGCTTTTGACCAATGGTTTGTCTCATTTATTGATAATTCATTATTTAAACTTTTTAATTATAATGAATTATTACAATAAATGTACATCCATACCATATTTGTATTTATTGTCGAAGTCACAATTTACCTTTTTTATACAAAGAAGCCAACTTTTTAGCGCCAGCGTGACGTGAACCATAGAATTTAACTGGCACATCTTCCTGGCTTTTATCCAAATCTGCTTCAGTCGTAGTACATTTTGAATTCAAATTTATAAATCCCTTTTCCTTCTCATGCAATGTTGATGAGTTTATACTTCTACTACAGTTTTCATCCATTTAAAAAAAACTGAAAATGCTAAAATTAATAATTTAAAAATCATTTTTGAGACTGAATAATTTCTTGAAAAGTATTACTTAAAAAAAGTATATGCCTTAAAATTAAAAGTAAATACTACTGAATTATTTTCGTTAACAGCAGGTGAAAACGTAAAGCACTGAGTACAGAAAGAAAAAAAATTAGCTGCTAAAACATAATTTAAGACACTTTAACGTAGCTAGAAAACAATATGAAAATACCACAGAATGATGAGAGAAACGAAAATTGAACAGAATCACTGAACAACCATAACAGATAACTAAAATTGATCAGAATCATTGAACGACTATAACAGATAACTAAAATTGATCAGAATCATTGAACAACTATAACAGATAACTAAACTTGATCAGAATCATTGAACAACTATAACAGATAACTAAAATTGATCAGAATCATTGAACAACTATAACAGATAACTTAAATTGATTCAAATAGAAGTCAAAATTGGAAGCAGTGTCTCAAGTTAGACCATTATATTACGTATATTTAAACATAGCTATAAAAAAAGGTTATTTTTAATATTATTTCGATTTCATCAAAAATTGAAGAGAAAAAGCACTAAAATTGAGAAAGAAATTTAGTGCTTTGCAATGACTCTTTGAAAAATATTTTCAACATAGCTACTGTAGCACAACATATAAATATGATCTTTCACGTTTTTTACGCACGAGAAAAACGCATAACAAGACAGAAGGAGATGAAGTATTTTACAAGTACTATTTTTTAACCTACCTCACGCACTCGTAATTCTTTCATGCTATTCTTAAGAACACTAATTACAATAATAATTGCTCTTTGCATCTCAAAATTACTTGCTTCATTTTTTTTTCACATTTCAAAGTGTACTCTAACAATAATTTTAAATAAAATTGCTTACATTAAATAAAAATTCTTTATAGATAATGCAAGAGATTAGAATATTCATCATATTCTTATATCAGTAAATAATTAAAATTAAAATATATCCATTAATAGCCATGACAAAAGAACTAATGATATAAGAATCTACTTGAATAACTACTGATTTAGATCAGTCAGTCCATTCAATGACTGACTAATTTATGTGAATTTACTTAAATAATCTACTTCTTATTAGTAATAATTAGGATTAGTTTTGAGTTTATTTAAACATAAAAATTATACAAGAAAACTTATTCTGTAGATTAATGATAAACTATCACTGAAGTCTAAAGTTTTTATGTCTTTAAAATAAGAAAATATTAAATCAAAGAAAAAACCATATATATATATACGAATGCTACTTACATTTTCTACTACAAATATAACAACACTCTGAAGATTAAAAAACAAATAATGGATAAATCTTAATATGAATAAAATTAGACGGACATAAAATACGACTTTAAATATTAAAAGGTTTGACTTTAATTTTCAACTGAAGCAGGCGCTAATGACATTCATATCTTTTCCAGTAATTAATAGCATTTGATCAAAAGATGAAATCGCTGCAAGATTTGTAACAGTTGCGAAGTTTATTAGAAATTTCAATTCGACCAAAATATCTGCAAGGATTAGAATTCAAATAAGACACTAAAGTTGGCGTAAAGGGAAGTAATCTCATCAAAGCACAAAAATGCTAATTGTCTTACTACATTAAGCAAATCCCCTCTGCCAAGCTGTGCCACACTGCTCTCCTTTGCCAATCTCAACAGATATTTTTTATTTTTCTAAAAATTCTAATTTTCCATCTCAAATCTCAGAGATTGCAGTACTTACATTGAAAAAGCTTCTCTCTCGCATAATTTTTTGAAATGAAGCTGACGAGTGATGTCAATAGATTACTCTTGCGTTTAGATAATTACAAACAATAAATAATATGTTGTTTACAGGTAAGTATAAAACATAAAAGAGATCACATCAGGTCAAATCACTCTTTCAATCATTTGATTAATCAATCAATCAATCAATTAATCAATTGAAGTATGATGTTATAAAACATATTGCAAATTTCGCGGCATTTTTAAACAACTGATAGATAAATAAGTAATCGTACACAGCGTCTTACATTCCCATATCTATCTATCTATCTATCTCACTTCAACTCGTTATTGATTCTGTAAAGAAGTTGCAAGTCAATCATAGCATTGAATAAACTGAATTTTCTTCTCAGTTACTTACTTACTTTCAAGTTTAGACAAAGTAGAAGAAACTTTCTAATTTTTGAGTAATGCGCACAGTGTGAGAGGATGAAAGTAAAACTTCTCCACAATTCGACTTGAACTACTTTCAATTTAGTTTGTAAGTAAATAACGAGTAATGCAGTACTTAACAACAACATATTACTGCTCAATTTCCTTCACTTCTGACTTACGCCACTTGCATTCCATACTTACCTATCACTTAATTGCTAAATTAACTATCTGACTTTGCATAATAAAACTCTGCATCTTATTATTAAAAAAGCAAATTCCTTTCCATTCATTTATTTACTTATTTACTTAATTATTTATTTGCTTATTTACTTAATTATTTATTTACTTAATTATTTATTTACTTATTCATTTATTAATTTCTTATTGAGTTTATTTTTTAAGAAAAGCGGGAAATGAAAGCAACAAGACGTCGTGATGAAATTCAGTCCATTTGCAGCTAAACAGACCATTTTCATTTGTGCAAAGAGTTTCACATTTGGTAATAAAAAATAAGATCAATGCAATCAACACAAATCATATAAATTTGTTACGATCAATAAAACAAACAAAAATTTGCATATTACTGCTATAAATTAATTGCAACTTAGAAATATTCATTACGCATTACATTAAGAAAAGTAAAGCACTAAAAGAGTAATGTATGCAAGCCTGAAAAGCGACAAGCATAATGATGATAATACTAATCAGTAATGATAATTTTATGCAGTTGCTATGCATGTGATAATGATCGTGACTTCCCAAGCACTACCGCTGTTAGCATTGAAATAAAAATACTTTATACCGATTTAATTTATATTTAATTATCAATACCTATTTAATTATCAATTTAATTATCAGTACTATCTACAAATTTTCAAAAGAATTGTCATAACCATATAAGTTTCTATTACTGCTAGTATAAAATTGTGAGTAAGTATGTAGTTGTGATTGCTTCTTTGAATTCAATTTTAGTTTACAAAAAATATATATTGCGGTGTTAGATAAGAAGTCAAATATATACATATATCATCAGAAAGAGTGCTTGATTTTTAGTCTGATAGACGGACAAATTTTCACTGCGAGCAAATTTTTTTCAAACAGTGCATGTTTTTTGCTTATTGCTTTGGAATATTTATTATTTTTAGTAAATTTGCTATTAATACAGTACTAATGCCTGATAACTTTACGTAAAAACTTAATTTAATAACTACAATTGAGATATGAAATGATATAAAATTTAATTTAATAATTACAATTGAGATATTACATTTTTATAATAAATAATAAAAGAATTAATACTTAAAAAGTTCTTAAAATTAATACTAAAGAGAGAAAAGAATAAGCAAACTGATATAAAGAATTAATTAATGCTTAGAAGATAAAGATCGATAGTTTTTAAAAAGTATATAAAATGACACATATTGAAGGACATACATATGTAATTGAAAATGCAGCAAAAAAGATAATAGACTTTGCATTAATTAGGAACATTCTTGAAAGTTATTACAAGCTAATTAGTTAGTACTCAAAAAGAAAATTGGAAATGATATACTTAAAAAAGAAAAGGCTATAATTTTTTTAATCAAGTAAAAATCTAAAAAACTTTGCGCTTAATTACTTCTTTTTCCGCAATAAACACATTCAAAAAATAAAAACTGCAACAATTTTTAATCAAATAAAACTAACTATAAAAGCAAAGCAATGAACTATGCAATGCAATGCAAGTATTCTAAAATACACTTTTTTGTAAAAGAAAAAAGTCCAAAAATGCAATTGCCAATTTGTGATGAATTAAGCAAGAATAGTAAATAATTATTAACTCTGTCGTTGATATTAGTGAAGATCGAACTTGAAACAGCGATAAATCGATTCTCTCGTCGTCTTCTCGTTATTCTAACTGCTCAAAGAATAGAATCAGAATGGTGCTGCTGAAAGCACAAAGATTAGAGAGGGATGAATTCGAGGTCAAGCTTCGGTTCATATGTACGTACCCCTCGGCCATTAACATCACTCATACTTATCTTTATTATCAATTAAAAATTTTTCCACTACTTTTTCAATTAATTTATTTTAAAGGGATGCTTACAGACTAACACTTGCATTAACATTAGTCCCATTTGCAAGCTTCACTTCAACATTGCAAGCTTCGCGTAAAAATAATCAAAAAAATGAGCTTAAACAAATTAAATTCATATAATTGATTACATATAATTGTTTATTGCTATTTTTGTTGTGTTTTGTTTTGTCTGAAATAATATTATATTTGAATAAAATTTGTTAGCTTTGCAAGACTTCAGCATTTTCAAAATTCAAGATGGAATCTTTGACTTTAATTACTAAAAATATGAAATGCTCTTCTCCGTGAATAAAGATTAGTCTTGGAATCTGTTTTATGAATTATAAATAAAAATTATTTTCCATCTGATGTTTTACTCTTTGTGCACTAATTAACATATCCAGTATTATTTCATCATTACATTTATTCAACCTTTTTTCACTTTCTTTTTAAGTTCATTTTTACGGAAATCTGAATATGACATGTGGATGAGTATCACAATCTTTTAGCTCTCAATAAGTAATAACTTTTTTGCAACTTTTTTCCCATTAATAATGTTAGAAGTTATGAGAAAGGGAATTTTTTTTGCATTTCTTCTTACGATAGCATTACGCATTCCGAAACTAATATAAGAGGGATTCAGAAGAGTGATTATTCATATCTAATGGCTAAATAATCACTCAATGAATAGTCTTATTAACTACTATGTGTCATCAAACTAATTATTTGCTTTCTTTTATACTTCACATTCTCTCAAAGCACAAGACAACAGTTTTATTATGCATACACATTCGTAAATATATATATATATATATATATAAACAACAAATAATAGTCATAAAATGTAGGAAAAATACAAAATGCAAAAACATAAATGTAAAAAAAATGACATAATGTTAGATAAAAATTGAATAAAGTTTAATCATAGAATAATCGTCTGTTCTTTTTTCTACTGCTAAATTCAATTTCACTAAAAAATTAGCATTATTGAAAGCAGCAAGAATTATTAAACAAATGCACAAACAAAGCGTTGAACAAATTATTCGAGAAATTTGCATATTACACTTCTTGGCCAACATGCAAATTAATATAATACACTCATGCATGGGATAATTGTTGCAAAAATATTGAGTAAAATGTATAGCATTGAATTTTGTATTCAAAAACAGTAAACAGTAAGAAAACTGTTAAGAGTGTATGATTTTTCTTTCTTTTGAGTGCAATTCAATCTTTACAAGCATATAAGTGCTAAAAATTATTTAAATTTAAAACATTTTTTAATTCAATGAATAACTAGAATAAATAGTATTGAGGAATGGTGGTGGTTCAGAATCTTTTTGAAATTTGGATCGTATCTCATCAACGGACCAGTTAATCTCCAACGGTTCCATTAAAATAGTTCGAGTCTTTTTACGAATTCTATTATTGCTAATAGTAGCTGAAGAATTATGTTTTTGCAAGGCTAGACGAGTTTGTGAGTTATTTTTTACTACTGTTCCATTCAATTTTTCCGCTTCCTCTTCACGTTCTTGTTTTATTGGCTTGAGCTTAGTTCGATCTGAATTCATACCTGCCATTTTCATAGAATCACTTAACGAAATACAACGGAAATTATTGCTCGAAACTTTACTCTCATTATTGCAATTGCTTTCTACAGCAGATCCCAATGCCATATCCCTGTTTGAACATGGCAATAAATTATTATTGATATTAGTTGCAGAAAAGCTATTTGGTTTTAAGTCTGATTTAGATGTTAACAGTTTGGAAGACAACTTAGATATCGCTGCTTCTGTGTTATTGACACGTTCTGACGCGCGTCTAGTGAGGAATTTATTATGACTACTACTACTACTACTACAACTAGGATGAAAGATGGAAGATGTCATCATTTGCATTTGATATGGTTCAGCTTGAAATATATATTCTCCATTTCGGCAAGGTGCTGCTACTGCTGCTGATGCAGCATTATCATCCATATGCCATATTTTACTTTCGGGTAATGAATATTTTCTAGCAACATTTTCTCTAATATTAGATGTAACTCCAGACGCAGTATTATTTTCTGAATGACGTCTTAAAAACGAATCATGTCGAGTTTGTGCAAGAGATAATTCTTTACGACGTGTACCATGCGACTGTGAATTGCTCTCTTGATCTATTCGTTTGGTACTTAGTGAATATAATTCATAATTTTCTGATTCTTTTCGACGAGGTGACAAACGTGAAGCAAAATGAATTCCTGAATCATTTATGGAATTTATGCTTTTTCGTTGCATTACAGGACTTTTATCTGCTCGTTTTGAACTACCTCTACGCAACAAAATGGGACTTTCAGGCACATCCGTTGATACCGATGTTTTCAATGTAGAATCAGATCGTACTGATGTTGTACTTATTGTTGAACTTTTTCGTACTGATGTTGGACTGCCTGGATCCAGTAATACCATTGATTTGCACGGAGAGCTTCCTTCTGAGCGACGTATTGAAGCTGGACTTCCTTCAATTCTTCTACGACATGGTGGTGAAGCACCGAATTCTCGTCGAATCTTCCAGTCTATATTTCGCCTACTTACATTTTCATCTTTGCTAATCGATTTTTTCTTACATGAATATGAAGAAATAAATGGACTACGCAAAGGCACTTCATCAACTGTCCCTCGATCTTCACTACTCTTTTGTCTGCAAACTGACGTCACGGGCTTGTTTTGAACATTGGAGTTCTCACGTGAAAGTACTGGCGTCTTATCATAATCTTCTTCTTCCACTTCTGTATCAATTTCTTCTTCTTCGCCTTCAGTTAACATGCTTCTCACAAAGCATCCTGAAACAGTGATTAACATTTTATCTCATATTTCTGCTAATATTTACATATAGGTTGAAATGAATCTCTTGTGAACACGAGTTGTAGCAAAATCTTAATTATTAGAATCACGTGAATACTTGTGAGAATTCTCTAATATATTCGACTCACCGAACACGAAGCTAAATAAAAAAGGAAATTTATTCGAGTTAATGCAATAAGAAATAATAATTTACTCAATTAAAAAATTATGGAATAATTTTGACAATTTTAAAAGGGCAACTATTACTTGAAGACGAGGTTTGCATTAGACGATTCTTCCATTTGCTTGAAGCCAACTGAGGTGACTGTAAAGAACAAGTAGAAGTTGGCGAACCGAGCAAACTTGAATCTAAAGTACCGATCGATGGTTCTAAGCACAGATCAACATCTGATAATCCTGCAAAATACGTGTACATCCTTTAGCTAGATGAAGCGTAATAATTAAAGTTGCTTAGACTACTTTAACATTTAAATTCATTCATCTCACGCGAACGATTAAGCATTTTTTTAATTAGAGACTATATAGAAATTATTGGGAACGAACCAGAATCATTAGAAACTGATGACGAGATGGCAATTTGCGCATCTTGGAATGGTTCTAGTAAAGAAGGAGCATTGATAATCAGATATTCGGCCAAATCAGGTAACCAACTTGTCGCCGAATCTCCTTCTTTAATGCATCAACATTAACACTTAACTAAATTTTTTGTACACGCTCGCATACATATATTTGTATTTAAATTTTATAAAGAAATCAAATTTTTGATTTGTTCTAAAAGAGTTCTCTGGATATAGCTATTTGAAAGTAAAGGATTGTAGACAAAATTAAAGTTTAGCTTAGTAAATTGCAATAGTTACTTGTCAACTTTTATTTAAAAAAACGAGCAGTGGTAAAAAGTAGATAATATTTTTGTATGCACAGGTCAAAATTATTCATCTACAGTTGTAATCAATTTTCACGTGAATTTTGATAACATCTGATTTCTGATCATAAACTGCAAAATAGATAGAGAAACAGCAATAAAATGTGAAACAAAACTTTGTGTTTGAAATTTTGATTGTTAATTTAGGCAGTAAAAACAGAGACAAAAACCGTGATTACTGAATCTTATAATGGCATACTTGGATTTTCTAGAAGACTTGGAGCAATGCAAACAGCAAGGGATTGAGCGGTCATTTTAGACTGTGAAGAATTTGTTATTGCTCGAAGAAGACGGAAAAATTTGGAAAGTAAAGTAGAATGAGCTGATGGTAGTAGCTGTAATAATCGACGAACAGCCTTTTGACGATCTACCGTTTGTTCCATTGCTGCTGACCACAATTCAAAGTTACCAGATAACAATAGCTTTCCCGGGATTTCTCGTAAATATTCCTAAGAAAAAATTTTCTAACAATAATAAGAAAATTAATAAAAATTTCTGAGTAAATGTAAAAAAATATGTTAAGTATAAAATGTATGTTATATTTTGTAATCTACCTTAAGCAGAGCGGCGGTAACATGTGGATTGAATTGATAAAAATCTGGTACAGAACCTCGTTGAAGTTGTGCTCTTAATAAACGAACAGTACTTTGCTTGGGTGATTTTCGAAATATACCTTCAACATTCACACCATGAAGCATCAAATGATCAATCATCGTTAGCACTGGTTGAGGAGGTGATGAACCTTCTAGTGGACGTCCAAAAAAACGCCGAGATTCTGAGCGACTAAGTACACGCCTTGAATTTAGCCAATAAAATTTGGTATTTCAAAAATTTCAAAAAATGTAATGAGACAAATTTGCATCAAAAAAAAAAGTCACTTAATTTCATGTACTATCGAAAAGCCAATTAAGATCTTACTTGCTTTAATTATTATTGCTTTCTGATGAAATTTTTTTACAAATTTTTAAATGATTCTGAAAACAATAAAAATGCTAATGGTCAGTTAAGAAATCCACCAAAAAACTATTATAGATGAATGAAATCCAATCTTTATTTGTTATTTTTGAATTGGATAAGTACGACTTGATTACGAAGAAACTTTTCCTGATAAAATAAATAACGAAGGCTTTGTTTAATATAACGTCAAACGTGATAAGTTTATTTAGTAATTATCTTCAAAAAATACTTCAAAATTTGTAACTTAACCAAAAAGTAATTTGAAAATTGTAATTTACAAAGTAAAGAAAATAGGGTTCAAAAAATGTTACTTAAAATGGGAAACAATAGATGATGTTGAAGAGTATGTGCTTCCAACAGATGCTAATACTAAACGACATTGAATCAACGGTAAAGCATCAATCTTCTCTAGCTGCAAGTCAGATAATCGGTAACCCGTATTTTTCACGTGTTCCATCACAATGCAGAAGACACACTCAGGGCCTTGAAGCATTGTCACGGAATCACCATTCCCCGCATCAAATGAAAGCTCGACTTCATCTTCTTCCGTTGGTATAGATAATTCATGCAGAAGTTCATGCAAAATTTCATTGCTTGTTTGCGATATTCCTATTTTCTTCTTCATTACCTATGCGCATAAAAAATATTCAATTTACGTAAGAAACAATAGAGTCATTGAAATAGGCAAAATTCAATTTTTACAATTAAAGATATTGAATAATAGTTTAAAGTTCAAGTTCACAACAATAACTAATATATGGATCAGATAAACATTTTTTATATATTTTTTATTCACTATTATCTAAACGTATTCACGCTTAATATCACTTGTATTATTATTATTTCGACCAAATTTCCCTTCAAAAATATGCATTTACAAAGTGTTATAATATTTTGATTATGAAAACAGTTTTATTTGAAAGTAAGAAATTGCAAAAAAAGAAAAATAAAATATTAATTTGTTTTTAATTTGAGCTAAAAATATACTATTTTTTGATGCTAAAAACAATTTAATAATTTAAGTTGAAAAAGTTCAATTTTTAAAAAGAAAGGTTTCATGAGGCAATAAATATTATTAATTCAGTAAAATGTCAATTGAAATGAGGTCATTTTGTAATCGCAACTGTGCGATGATTACATGCGAACTTTTTACGCGCTTCATATTACAAAAATAATCTTCAGATGTGGTCAGTAACCTGTCTTCGTCCATCGATCAATACCGAAACTGGAATAGTAGTAAATCTGGGAGAAATTCTTGCACGACTTCGCAAAATCTGTTGCTGCAACAGCACTTCCCATTCTTGTTTCTGATCTTCTGAGCTGCAAATGTAATGCTAAGAGTTACAACTGCTTTTCGTGTTCAATTTATATCAGCCAAACTATTTATAATATTTTTGATTTAGAAAGATTTACAAAGTAATTACTGCTATTGAAAAACAACTATAGAGTAATTATTGCTAACTTTAACGAAAAAATATACGAAATTGGATCAGCTAACCTTTAAAATCATTCTCCAAATTTGTTTGCAACGCTGTAAGCTTAATGATAAACCGTCTCTTATTAATAAAAACGATTGTTATTATGCAATTATTACTCTCAAAAAGGTAATTTTTAAAATCATTCAGTCATTACATCATCTGTAAATTAGCCATTCTAAAGACCATTGTTCATTACTACAGTAATAATAATATCTATTATTATTCAGTAATAATAATATCTATTATTATTATTATTATTATTATTATTATTATGATAATATTACTGAAACATACGCAAAGTGAGCGATGAAATTATAAATTGGCCATCCGATGAGAAATGAGTGAGGACAATCATTAGACACTAACCAAATTCGATCTAAGCGAACTTTCTCCTTTAGTTTGTAACTGTTCGCAGCTCTGTAAAGTTCAACTACAATATTGCAAAGTAATAATCTGCTAGGATCTTAGAAAGAATATCTTGAGTAGTACTTTGGAGAAATGAGCAAAAATTTGTGAACAATATTTATGAATCTAAAGAAAATTTCAGCAAATATCTGACCTCTGCACCTCTTACAACTGTATAAATATTGTGTAAGCTTTACAATATCAGATAAGATATCGTTAACTCTAAATGCTAACGCTAAAAGCCTTCTTTGCAAAGATAATAATAACATTATAATAACTATTAATAAAATTATTAACATAATAATAATATACTCTATTGTGTAATAGATAGCATATCATTTCAAGTAATCAGTTTTGTTTCTTTGCTTATTATAACTCACATTTTTCATTTTCATTGCAAATTACACGAAATAACAGTCTACAGTTTCAATTTTGAAACACCTTTGCTCCTCCCAAATGATTGTGGTCAGTAACTGAGGTGAAAGGTGAATTCCCCGAGCTTATGCGTACATATTCGTATTGTACGACAAAGAACAAAGCTGTCATTGAAACAGACAACGATTTGCATCATCACGCATCACATCACATCACATCACATCACATCACATCACATTTCAATATGAATAAATTTAGGTCGAAACTGCGTAACATAACCAACTGCTCTTAAAATAGATTGAAACCAATCAACATAAGGATTGAAAGGCTGCAAACTATTAACACTTTCTCACATCAAAACTTTACTTCGTTAATTTAACGTAAGCAATAATTCAATCACACTTCAATGTACTGATTCTCCTCTCTACAATGTAACACACTTATTTTTAGTTTAACTTCAAAATATGACACAAATTGAAAGGTTTTTTTGTTCACAGTCATATATATCTCATCTTCCGCAAACTATTTAAATATTTGTACCCATTTAAAAGTATAATTACTTATTCTGTTCAAGTACAAAATTACAGAAACCTTACTAACTACTATACTAACCGAAGTAAAAGACAATTTTTTGCTTCTCAAATTTGATAGACAAAAATATATTTATAACTTTAATTCATTTCACACAGTACTTTCGAGAAAATGAAATGATATATTAAATTGATAAGTATGACGTCACTACTGTATTTACTGTACAGTTTTTACTGTAACTACTGATTACTTCCTAAATATGAATTTTTTTCTCTTTTAAAAATTTAAAATTGATAACAATGTTTTGTACTTATTTTACTTTTAAACATTCAATTTTACTTTTATACTTTGTTCATTTTTAACAAAAGCGCGCAAGAATTCAAATGAAACAAAAAATTTTTTCAATGCCAATTTCTGATTAAAAAACGATAAAGTGCACAAACATTTAATTAATGTATTCGCTCACATCGTGAGAATAATTTCCATTACTCGTGTATACAAGTTCTGCATTCCCATTAAAGTTTGTATTCACATACTTTTAAAATGTATTATTATTACTGTTTACTTTTTCATTCTTTTAGATTATTTATTACAAAAACAATTATGACTGGTTAATTCAGCATTTCTTTAAGAGTTAATTAATTTCATTTTTCGCATATTAGTATTCTTTTTGTTCATAAAGTAAGAAAAATTAGAGCGAAGATATCAAATCATTCATTCATATTTTCTCTATGCGTTTAATTATTTTCAAATAACAAATACGAACGTGAACGCACGCTATATGCATTTATATATTAGGAGATTGTGAAGTAAGTTTTTCAGACTGTTAATACATTTAAAACATATCGTTTATATGCAGAAAATAGATTGCAACGTAAGATAGTTCGATTAATCATTTTGATCTATACAATATGCAATCTTCTAGAATGTTATTGAAAAAATAGATGATTATCAATGATTCTTGCAAATAATGCATTTTTCTTTTATAAATTCCGAGAAATTCTGATTCACGCATATTTACATAATAATACATACTGATAGCGGAAATATACATTTATAATATTTTGTAAAAGTAATACTTTTAATTAGCAAAGTAAGAAATCATAACAGTTAATCGCAGGCTTAACCTTCAAAAGTCTTACTTTTGTTTAGCAACGAGTAGCAGATCTGAAAAAAGAAAAAAGTATCGTGAAGATGTTAGCAGAGAATCCAAAGCTGTTAATTGCACTGCACCTTCTTTAATGTATGAACGTTTCATGTCAATATCGATGAAACGGTGGTAATCATTTATCTGAAAATAAGAGTACTTGTATATATTACAGTTATAATAATTATTAATAAAATACTCAAATATATATTCAAAAAGTAAGTTAAAATAGTAAAAATCAGAGTAAAATTGCAGGCTTATTGTTACGAATTTTGAAGTAAGCTTCTTTTTGAGACAGATCTTAATTATTTTGCAGAAAACAAAATATAATTACAAAGAGTTCACGAAAATTTTTATTCAAAATAAAAAATAAATTAATTAATAACTCATTCTTTTGTAGAATGAAATGGAAAAAAAAGGAATTAATTAATAATTTAAAAAGACAAAAAATATTATTTAAACGAATAGAATAATAATCTTGAAAATACTGTCATACTGAATAAAATTTAGTGACCGCTGATTGATCTTGCTAGATTCATTCAATCACATATCAAATAAAAAATAATAAATAAGTAAATAATTAATTAATTAATTAATTAAATTATTTATTTATCATTATTATTCAGACGTTAATGCATTAAGCACGCTAATAGTTTATATGTCAAGCAAAAATGTAAATCACTACGAGTTTGAATAACAAAATTTGACTTTGATTGAACAAGCGAACAAACAAGTAAACAAACTGATCATCGCTAAAAATCGAAGGGAAAACTGAAAAGTGTCGTTGATTGAACGACATCACAACTTTCCACTTACTCAACCCACCCATTCACTCATTTATTCATTCACTCATTCATTCATTCACTCATTCATTCATTCACTCATTCATTCATTCACTCATTTATTTATTTATTCATTCATTCATTCATTCATTCACTCATTTATTCATTTATTCATTCATTCATTTATTCATTCATTTATTCATTCATTCATTCATTCATTCACCTATTCAACCATTTCATCAATTGTAATACTTTTAAATGTTGATATCCCTAATCCAAAATTTACAAACATTCATACAGTTCTGTTTATCTTTCCTTTACAAACAATTTAACCTCATTTTCAGTGACAAAAAAGATGAATGTATTAATACATAAATTTACATCTTTTTCATTAATCCACCGATTAGACTAACATTTTGAATATTTTTAAAATGCATGAATTCCACAAAATTTTGCACACAAAATAGTTACTATATACTGTAATTAAAATAATTTGCAGATAAAAATTTTTTCTTCCACCCATTTTTGATTTTTTTGATTTTCAAAATTGCATTGCATAAATTTGTATAATTATTGAAAATATGCAAAAATTGAGTTTTTCTCTCATGTTTTATATAATGCAAAGTAATAATTGTTTATTTTCTATGAAAATTATTCAAATATTTGTGGACACAAATGCGCTGCATATTAGATCATTCAGTGAATCATATACCAGATCATATAATGAATCATATGTAAGAATATGTTTGACTACAATTTATTTAATCTATGTAATAAGTGTACCCATTTCTGATTCATCACGCACATTTCCTTCATCTAATGAACAACATCAAATGTATCAAAAAAATTAAAAGTGACTGTAAGAAACTATGCGGTATATTTTTTATTTTGAGAGACAGTAAGAAAAAATTATTAATATTATTTTATACATTATTACTTGTAGAAAATGAAGCTTAATAAATCGAATTTGTCTATTAATACAACAAGAAAAGCACAGTTATATAAATTAATATTTGCTAGAAATATTTCTATGAAATTTTAGATAAGAAGTCATTTAACAATTGTACGCGAATAAAAAATAGGGCATAAGCCAGTAATTAAGATAGATAAGACGAACAAATGACTTATAGCTATAAAATAATTATTTTTGAGATTATTGCTGAAAAAACAGCTGCTCAAAGCACGAAGAAAAAACTTCTTCAAATGCAAAATTTTTAGCAAATTTATTTTTTGTAAAAATTAATATCGGAATTACTGCAAACATTTATAATCAATCACAATTACTACAAGGTTATAACATTTGATTGCGCCATTAATGCATTTGCTTATCAGCAATATTATCAGTAGTAGTTATTCATTCACCTTTTGTAATGAAGTAAAACTTCAAAATATTACAATAATAAAAAAGTGAATTCAAAAATGCAATAAAATTTTTCAAGAGTACTAGTCAACTGTTTTGTAAAAAGTGACCTCCAACAATATGATCCTTGAATACTTGATTATAATAAAAAATATTAATTACTAATGCCAGAAATGAATTTACTATCAATTACAGATTACAAAAAAAAGAGACAATAACTGGATTACTAGTGGAATAATCAGAAATGAATAAATTTATCAAAGTATTGTATGCTAAGACAATAAAAGTTATTAGTGTTGTAAGAGAAACGAAAAAATACTAAATGAAAGTGAATTGCTGATGTTATCTTTAATGCCTTTACAACTTTAAAAAACATTCCTACTTGTTTGTTAAATTATTGGCTAAAAAAATATAATTTTTATTCTTTTTTCCTTTTTTACGAATTTTGCTTCCTTCTACTTGCGCAATTATATTCTACTGAATTATTCACAAATATTTTCATCACTTATTTCTTTTATATAAAAAATATTGTACACATTTCAGACTATTATCAGATACAAATTAATATATTTACTTCATTCTTAAGCAAAGTCAAGAATCAAAAGAGAATATTTGTAGTCTTTCAATTATCAAATTGCTAAAAAACTTTAATAATTTTGCATTAGAAAATTTCCACGTTCTAGCATAAATTCTTTACTTCTTTAAGGCTGATAATTTAATCTCTTTTAGTAATAGCAAATATTACCATTCAACTTTGTGAAAAAAATGTACAAAAAAACTGAATCACTATTTGAATCACATAATACCTTTGTGATTCAAGTAGTTGATTCAATTTTTAAGTAGTGATTCGAATTTTCATTCATTTAAAAACTGCAAGCATCTATAAATTAATAATAAGTTGAAAGTTACTTGTAAGCTATATAAGGGTTTAAAAAATAAAATAATTTATTATGATACATTATTGTATATATATGTTGGTAATTTTGTACTGTATGTATTTTTCGGTAATTAGTAAAATTAGTACAAAATAGCATTTTTTTTTGTACATACCTTAGGATATAATTTTGTTGTATCAATACGCACTGAACTTGAAAAACGCGGAGCGAAACGATTACGAATTTCTAGACGTGTAGCAGATTGAGATCTTTGCCTAGCACTCATGGTATCAGCAAGGTCCGGTCATTCACCATTACTAATACAAATGATATTTATTAAAATTTTAGAATAATAATACAAAAATGGGGGCGTGAAACTTTCCTTTCCATATCAGGTTAAATTTATCAATACATCTCACTCACAACGAAATTAACCCTTCACGGAGATAGTTTAACATTTAAACTTCATTTTCCACATCTGTCCTTCTACTTATGAATAAACATTTCATCAAATTTAGACTATGTTATAGAATAAAATAGAAGACAAACATATTTTCACATCTTACCATCATTATCAATACCTTTGCACTGATCAACCTAATTCACTACTAAACAATCTTCTCTTCCTTATCAAACTTCATTTAAAATTCTGTTCTTAATTATTATAGTACTGCCTCATTTGTCACTATTAATATAAACTTTAAATACATGAATAGTATCAAGAGATAGGATATTTTTTATAGTATAGACAAATCCAGAAAAACTCCATAACTGTATGGCATGTAAAGCATGGTATTTTCTGAAGGCAAAAAGATAAATTTCAATGATCTGAAAAATTATGCATCCACGGATGACACTATGTACATGATTGCACAGTCATGATAATAGAAGGATAATATGCAAAAATCATAAGGATGGACTTCACAGATTATAACGCTGATATCTAACATTCTTAGAAACAAAAATATCGATGTCAAAACTACAGAAGAAAATCACTCTTTTTCTTAAAGAAACTAAAATATATTATTTTAGAAAAACTATCAGAATGGTAAAACAATCAACAAAATATTTCACAGTGATACTCAAAAAAAGCGAATTGTGATGCCGAAAAAAAAGAGGACTAAAATAAAATGACAGAATCCTAGGACCCTTTCATGCATGTATGGAGAGCTTTTCAGAAACATAATTATTTTCCGTCAACATACGGTGTAAGAATGTAAGGTCCCTCCACTTACATTAAGAAACAGATGTTTGCATGCGAGCAAAGTACTACATAAAACATTGGTAACCTATATCAGCTAAAAAATTTTGAATGGGGAACCACTTCATTGACCTTGATATGCTAAAATTTATTTAAATTCAGATCTAATATGCTGTGTTACCGTAATAATGGCATTTATGGGAATGTTTAAAATAACAATCGCTACTGTTAATTCTTATGATAGAGATATTATCTCATAACGCAGTGAAAATATAAATATAAAGAAAAAACAAATCATACATCAAAACAGTGCTCCTTAACTACATGTATCATTTGCACAAAATTTAAAAGGAAGTGTATGATGCATGATAAATAAGAATAGAGAGCGAAATGATTCGCTAACAAGCAAGACATTATATCACTTATCACGTTTAAAATGTCAAATAAAAAAATTGGTTAGCCTAATATTCTTCTCTCAATTCTTCTTAATATTACAAGTTCCGAATCCTTTTTGTTTGATCAGTGGAATTTGTCAAATATGAGATCTACAGATAGTTAAAAGTTAGCGATTGTAACTTAAATTCATCCATTATATAGTACTGAATGATGGTAAAATATTTACAAGGTATGATAATTTAATAAATCTGCTTCGTCCAAAGCTTAAAAGTACGGTCGAAAGAAACACTTGCAATCCATTTTTCATCAGGTGAAATGTCTACTCCCATAACTTTTGTATCATGACCTACTAATTGCCGTAACGGTCGCCAACCACGTGTTTCCCAGACCTATAATTTGAACATAGTGAAAAAATTTTAAGTAAGAAAGGCTAAAACGTAAAAATTAGACTACAGGACTCATCCATTTTTGTGCATTTCTTACTCCACGTCTCATATTTCAACTTGAACAATGCAATAATTAAAAAACATCACTTTTAAAGAGTTATCGAAAGATGACGTAATGATATAATGTCCTTTAGATTCCACGCGAAGACCAGAAACAAGAGAAGTATGTGCAGCGATTGGTTTGATAGCACGTCGCATCCTCAAATCCCAAACCATACAAGTATTGTCAGCAGAACCCGTAACCATTTGATAACTAAAATAATTAAAGGTCAGTGTCATTCAATACGAAAATCTGAAGTATTTTCCCAACAAGTATACACAATTTTACTCCATCTTACCCATTTGGCAACCACTGTCCACAATGTATTTCTTTTTGATGACCTTCTAAGAACATTATACAACGTCCTGTTCTCAAATCCCACACACGGCCATAACAATCCATGCCTCTGTAACATCGAATATAATTTTAGAACTTATAGACATTAAAAAAGATAAAATCACAATCAACAGCTTACAAAGTCATAATTAGTGATCCATCTACTTGAAAATCAGCATGAAAAACTGGTCGGCTGTGCCCTTCTTGGAAAAGAATTTCTTGTTCATATTGTAAATCAAATAATCGCCATGAACAATCGAAACTGAAACAACAAAAAACTTTATATTTTTCCAATTTCACGAACCTTTTTTATGAAAAGCAAAGCAGTCAAAAAATTTAACGACATATTGTATGTATCAACTAATGAATTTCTCTTTACTTCTTGAGACCAGATATAAACCTCGCTATTACATGATAATTTTTAAGGTTGTGACTCAAATCCACGAATTCCTGATTTGAAATAATGTAAATAATTCTACTTCTAAAAGTGATAATATTCACACTATTTTCTTCAAAACATTAAAGCATACCAACAAGATGCAAGAAATCTTCCAGATGGATGAAATGCAATTCGAGACACTCTTTGAGAGTGCGGTTCAAGTTCTGATAGCGGTGAATTACTTTCAAGATTCCATAATTTCACAGTTCCATCATGACCGCAGCTAGCTGCATTTAAAGCATACGATTCTTGAGAAACATAAGCTCCTGGATGGAATCTGGCACATCCTGCCTGACTGGAATGTCCAATAAATCGTCTTTCACGAGCACTCTCTGGAACCGACCAAATACAACATTCACCTGACCTGAAAACTAATCTATATGAAAAATAAAACTGATCTAATTTCTCACAACATGATTAAGTAATAAACACTCCGTTCTCTCTGGTAATATCAAGGTGAAGTATGAACAGTTATTTGTTGTTTTTTTAATGAGTCGCAGAATAAAAAGGATACTGGTCAAAACTATAACTAACCATCCAGAAGTAATGAGATGTTTCGAATCAGGTGAAAATTCACAATACGAAACAGGTCGAACATCAGCTACTTGTGATCCATAAACTGATAGACCTGCAATCCATCGATGCATTTCCTGCGTACGCACAGCAGAATTGTATGGTTCATTAGCTAGTGTTTCCCGAGCCTTCAAATTTAAGATATATATTGAATAAACAATTGAATGAACTTTCGCAAAAATATAAAAATGTCATGCTGATACTAAGAAAATAAGTTTCCATACCTTCTTTAACCTCTGCTGAGCTCTCCTCAACGAATAATCAGCAATAATTACGCGAACGTCCCGAAGAGCAGCCAGTCCTTTATGGTACCAAGTAGATGAATCTTTTGGCTGAACAGTTTCCGTTTCTTCCGGACTATGCAATATCCTAGTAACTTCTTCTTCTGGCATTGTGGATAACAAAGTCCGCAACCTTTCCTTTCGATCCAGTTTGTCTTCTCCAAAAAGACCTTCAAATTTCGATTTTTAATGAAATAAATTTTAGAATTCACAAAAAAAAACTTGAAAAAAAATTTCAACTATACGATACATCTGGAAATTAGAAAACATATATCAGTACAATGTGAATAAACATCTTGCTGAATCTACGTCAAAAACCAAATGTTCCACCGAATTTAAAATATATTTACATTACATTACTCAATATATAACTACAGCATTTTCTACAAACAGCATAAAATTTAAAGTGATAAAAATAAAAATAAATGAAAAAATAAAACAACTTACATATTGGCTTATTAAGTTTTCGCAAAAGCAATTTGACGTGCCCATCATCAGTTGGCAAAGTTAAGGTCCTTGCACGCCGCCGTCTTTCAAATTCTGCCATAACCTCCCACTCCATGGGATTATCCACTGCATCCAAATCCAAATATTCATCTTTCTCTTTTTTTTCCCCTTCCCGCTTTTCAGCTTCTGCCTTTATTTTCTCAGTTTTACAAATCTATTGTACGAAATAAGTAAACTGACAAATAAATACGACTTCATTGCATATCACTCAACATATATTATTATGGATCACCATATAAAATAATCGAAAATTTTGCTAATATCAGCTTCACTAATTCATGTAAATGTATAAATACTACATATAAGTATAATGTACGGTTGTAATATTTGCAAATTAAATGTTACAATGCAATTTGGATACCTGAAGCTTGTGAACAGTTTCTTCATTGGCAAGACTTCCGAAGTGCACCTTTTGTGTAACGATCAAATTGTTTGACTGCAATGCTTCCCCCATTCTGTCGACTATTATATGAAATTATTTCAACAAGGTAAACGACTTCTAACTACTTACAAAATAAAAAAAACCAAACAGATGTACGACAAAAACTAAGTAAAATAATAAATCTTATCTTCTCTAACAGTTTGCGCATGCTGCAAAGAAATTAACGTTAACATACATTGCTAGGATTTAACAGTTTGCGTAGAGGATGTAGTTGGTCAATCATTAAATTCATTAATTTATTATGCCACGTGAAACACCGCGCCATTAAATATAGATAAGGCGTAAGATTAGGTAGTAGTAGTGTGATTCATTAGTGGATTTGAATTACATATTTATTCACTACATTTGTTATAAAATAATCTGAGTAGTACATTTGTTATAAATTATCTAAGCAGTTACTTTTATCAATTTCGAATATACTTCGTGACAAGAAAATTATCAGTTTTACAATATAATAATCTGCCGATAAAACTGCCCCCAAATTAATGTTTTTGTAAGCAATAAAATGAAATCGTCATCTTATTGTCAAGAAAAAGCATTAACGGACTGCGTAAATTTACGATATGCATTTCTTATCGATAATGTAGTTGATGAATCATATGTTGCAGTAGTTCACTATATGGAATTAATCGACCTTTTCTGAGCTGCACATACCACCTACTTTAATTTGGATATTCAAAGTTCATTTAAAAGATCACATTTGCCTATAAATATTTGTGTACTGCATGAATGGTATTCATTACATTCATTGTAAAGGATTAATTGAATTAATTTTTTCAGTTGTAAGTTTTAGAAGCTCGCACAATAAGGGAGCTTCTACTACTTACGCTGCTTCAGTTTATTTAGTAAATTGTAAGAATATCATTGAAAAATTGTTATTGATTGCTATGAAGACATATGGCATTCATTTTCGACTCGTAATTGGCGAGTTGGCATCAATCGCTAAAAAATTTTAAGATTGTTTGGTGGTTACTTTACAAGTTTTGTTTCTTTCTCCGTGTATAATACAGTTATCCATGTGTGATTCAATATCTTTCTAAAAGTAACTTGTAGATTTATCAATTCATCATGGAGACTGCAAAGGATGTACCCGTGCAACGATTAGTAGTCGATTCCAGTGCTTTCATCAAGCGAGCACCTTTACATGTATGCACTAAACTTGGTTTTTATAGAGAGTAACAGAAAGTAATCGCAGTAATTTAGAATATTGTTTTTTGTTGGTTTTTAAAGTAGTAATCATTTTTTTTTCATGAACTGAATAAGTTGCAGGAGATTGTTAGGAGATGCAGTCATTATTCAATATTTCAGTATTTTAGGAATTAGGTTCGGAGATTTATACAGTGCCAGGAGTAATAGATGAATTGAAGTGCGAGAAAATGCGTCATTTACTTGCTAGTCTTCCATTTGAAATTCAAGTTCAAGAGCCATCTCGTGATTCACTTCATATCAGTTAGTTTTAGTTTGTCTGCTTTCAACTCCTTTTTATTTTTCAGTATTGCCTTGTGAATTATTACCATCAAATAGTGTTTGTTAACTAACATATTGTAATTTTAAAAAATGTTGGGTTTGTTAGCGTTTATTAATTCGTGAAAATAGGTAACACATGTCTGTAGCGTGATAGAATTGACAAAGATATACTCTAGTTAACATAATTATTTTTTCTTTCTAAAATTTATTTCCATTGAAATCGTGCTCTTAAAACATCTAATTATGTCGAGAGATTTTACAAAATTTTATGTTAGATTTGTCAAATAATCTAATAATTTATTGTATTAGGTAAAAGGAGAATTGTTTATCGAAGAACGGGACAGAAACCAAAATTACTCTAAAAAACAGCTTTTTATAAAATTTGAAAGAAACTAGATTTTGGCATGCTTAGACAACATTTGCTTCAGTAACCGAGTTTTCAAAAAAAACTGGCGATTATCCATCGTTATCAGCAGTTGACTTGAAATTGCTCTCGCTTACTCATGATCTGCATTTGGAGTTGTGTGGAGCAAGCAGTTTGAACTACGAATTTAAGGGCACTGAACAATATGAAACGCATATTGTAACTCATTCTTAAAAACTTGTTTAGTTTAGATCTGTAATTTTTTTAGTGAATAATGGAGTCAAATACATTATCTATGAAATGTTGCTATCTCTTTATAAAGATTAAATTCTTCTTTCCTGGTGCATGGGAAATTGAGATAGTCATTTAGAGCATTAGAAACATTTTATATTATAGAGTTCGACTAAAAATGAGTCTGAATCGTATTCGAACATAAACAACACCGATAATGATATTACCGACCAACGCAGTAGTGACAGTGATTGTGGCACGTGGTTAGATGAAAACAATGTTGATGAATTATTACAAAACAGTGGTGAAGAAGTAGTACCAGTAAAAGATTTAAAGGTTATATTTAAATCGATATGATCAATCATATTTGTTTCTGTAACTCCAACTCTTAGAAGTAAATGTCCTTCATACTTTTCATTTTCCTTTCATATATTTATTATCACAATTTTTATGTAACTTTGCTCGAATATATCAGGTAGCTTGTATTACATCGGATTTCGCAATGCAAAATATTCTTCTTCGTTTGGGTCTCAATTTATTGTCAATTAATGGATATAAAATAAGTAGGCTGAAAAACTACATTTTAAGGTACTGTTGTTTTCATAAACTTGCAAAAAAATTTTTAATATTTTAACTGAGGGACAAAAATTACCTAATGATCCCATCATATTTAACTATTTTAAATTAAGCTAAAGTAGCTTTTGAGCCGTGAGTTTCAAGTAGTTTTTAAGCTAAAGTAGTTTTGAGCGTTTTAGTTCTTGTTTATTAACGTATTGTTAATTAATTAATGTGAACTATGTAAGGTATGAAATGGAGTTGAAACCCAAGAGAAAATTAGAATCAGGTTTTAAAACCTTCAGTATTTGAAAAATTGGTTAAACAGTTCTTGCTAAAAAAAACTTTTGTCAAACAAAATTCACTTTGCACAATAGAAAATTTTTAAAAAGAAAAATTTTTAAATAATAAGGTGTCGGGCATGCTTTGCAACAACAGCGAACATGACAAAACGTTTTTGTCATCGTTGCGGAAATGACTCACTACATCGAGTCGCTGTCAGCATTAATGAGGATGGAACAATGCAACTTCACATTAATTGGGATAGGCTGAAGTCTGCGCGTGGTCTTAAACATTCTCTTCCAGCTCCTAAAGGTTTGTTTTTATGCATCGGTAATTTCTCTTTCTTATATTTTTAAGTATATAGAAAATTTTAGGTGGGAAACACGCTGTAGGACCTCAACTGTTTGAAGATCAACCAATACCACAAAATAGGATGGCTCGTTGTCATCAGGATGCAACTGCAGGACCATTTGTTATGAAAGATGTTACGAGCAGGTAAAATGTATTTAACGTTGTCGCGACCAGATATAAATGAGGGTTATCAATGAATTTCTGATATTTGGTAATATTAAGGTTTGTGCTTAATGATAAAGATAGAAACAGTGGAAATTTCATTGATTGAATCGTCTGCTTCGCCAAAAAGCAGGTAATAACTACATGTACTTAAGTATGTTAATATTCACTTAATTTTTAATAATTGCTTTAATTTTAGGTCAGCCTTATTAGGTATACGTTCATTGCTAAGATCTGCAGGATTGTCACATACACACAGGCATGGAAGGAAACGTGGAAATAAACGTCGCTGAATTTGGAGTTTGAACTGAAATTTGAATTGATCTTAATTATGAATTTGATCTGAATTGAAGTTTTGAAGTTCTCATAAAATTATTCATTTTCACTTGATGCTGAAAAAGAAGAAATGTAGAGGATATGAGTAAAAATAATATAAACATGTCACATTTGTTCTGAAATTCTTATATACATTGGTTTTTTTAAAAAAAAAAGTTTGTGGTGCTTGAAACCGACAAAACAAGGTTTCCGTAAAAGTTTAGATAAGATAGCACTGGTTTAAATTTATGGCTAGATACTAAAAAAATATCTTCGTGTTTTGTTGTTCCCTGTTTTTTGATATGTAAGCAATAAAGTATTCGCAACAGTTGATGAAATAAATTATTTAGCTGTAAATCGAACTTTTTTACTTTCTATATTTTTGCATTTTTTCAGACAATTATTAGACTAACATTATAATATTTTAGTTGAGTATAGGTGGATGAGCACAAATTCCTTCCATACAAAATAATTTAGTTGTGCACTATGTTATACTTGAAAAAAATATATTTCCACGGCTCCAAAAACGGTACGATAGATAAGTGTTCTCCTTGCTAATAGTATTTGTTCTAGACTTTATTTTCTTTGGTATGGTTTTTTGACTTAGGAGTCCACTGGCTACTTTACAAGTTTTCTTAATATTATTTTCAGTTTCAATTTTTTTAACGCTAGACGTGCTAACTTCGTCTCGAGCAAAGTGGTGACGTTTGTGATGCTATGTTAACTCATTATACATGTAAGTACACAACGGAAATAAGCATTTCAAAATATTGGCAAATTTCTTGTGAAGCTTATTGAGCCTTAACATTGTGCAGCGTACTCCAGTAAAAATAAGCGTTAGTTTCGAATGCTAGAATTCCTTCCCGCTACTTGTGTGTTTGTCTAATTGAAGTTTTAAACTGATGAAGAGATTTTTTGTTGATCCTCGTCATACAAGAATGATACTGGTCATGTTTTTGATCTATTTTCCAAATTTTGCAAAACATGTATTACCCTGTTTCATTCTTTGTTCCATGTTGGTGAGTCATGTTTTGGTGCTATAATTTATCGGATATGATAAATCACTGCAACTTCAATTCTTTATATAAGTTCTCAATGCAAAGTGCTTTTACGTTATCGTTGAGTCACATGGAATCAGACCTTTATGCTAATTACAGCAATTTCATATATTCAGTTTAAGAAAAGAACCGGGTCAATTGTCTGTTGTTTACAAGTTAATCCTTATTTCTGAAGTCGATGTCGACGTTTTACTGTCACAGTTGTGAGCAAGCAGTGTCGCTAAGAGATGGAGTAAGTAATTTTGAAAGTTTATATTGCCTTAAATCTTGTGAAGAATAAATCTAATCTAAGTCGTGTTTCATAAGCCGTATAATAAGGTGATTTTTTTGTGAAGTCTATATACTTAGTTTTTATAGTATGATATCTCACTGAGTATTGATTCATTTCGTTTTCTAGTGTTTGGTTTATATCGACTGAAATAATTTCTCAATTAACTTTTGATTAAATATTAGCACGTTACAGTATCATAAAATCGTAGTAAGTTCTACGTGTTTTTGCCTATCCTTAAGTGGAAGCTTTCAAGGATTTTGTCTGCGCGAGATGTGGTGGCGAATTTATCGAGGAATTATCTGTGGGCAACTCACCATCAATGTCACCTTTTGAAATGGTGGATTTATTTTGCTTTCACTGATTTGTGCATCTTTATTTTCTCAATATTTGGTTTGCGCAGCAAGTAACAGTCTTTTCTAAAAAGTCAATGGTATGCATTATGGGAAAATACGAGTTTCAGATTTTTGGTCAGTTTATCTCAGACAGAACACCCAGAAATACAAATGTGGTTTCTTCAAGTGATACTCAGCAAAACGAAAATCAAGAACAGCAACCACAGCCCTCATCAATAAGATTTCCTATGGTTCCTGGGGAAGACGATAATGTTGTAGTGCGGTTTTTGAATCAGTTACTGAGCGATTTGTCAGCTCAAGGAACACAAGTACAATTACAGATTACTCGCGAACCAAATGCTCAAGGAACGTATGTCTTGATTTGAATTTTCTTTTTATTTTAAGGTGCACTATTATTTGTCTGATCCTGAAAAGTCGTGGGATGCTCATGTTCATTAGTAACACGTTGTAAAACTAATGACGATTTTGTTATTTTTTTGCACGCTTATTTTCAGCTCTGCTAGAAGTTTCTTGTTAAACATGTTTATTGAAATGGTATACGTGAATGTGAGATTTACCATTTTTTATCGTGAAATAATTCCAATGTTGATTTTTACTTAAACTTGCGAATCCAAGGATAGGAAAAAACAACTCGTAGATAAGCAATTCCAGTATTTTTCACGGACTTCTCTCGGATTACGCATTCGGAGAAAATGGCCTTGACCAGATTGTTACGCAGTTGCTGAATCAATTCGAAGGAGGTTCTACACCTGTTGATCCGAAACTTCTCGCAAACCTACCCATGACCACTGTGGAAAAAAAACATATTGAGAGTGATGCCCAATGCACGACGTGCATGGAAACTTTCAAAGAGGTGAGGAGTTCATTTTGAATTTGCGTATCAAACTTTTAAATTTTCGGCTTGTTATAAAAAAGTGCATGGACAAAGTCCACCTTCTTCTATACTGTCCAGTCACCAAATTTTTTTCAGAACGAAGTAGTAGCAATTCTGGATTGTCAACATATATTTCATCGAGAATGTATCTTGCCTTGGCTAACGAGAAGTGATACTTGTCCAGTGTGCAGGAAAACAGTTGATGCCACTAAGTGGAGGAACATTAATCCTATGGATGAACTGGATTGATGCTTAAGCTTCGTGAAATTAGAATGGGATTCAATGTATATATACATTGAACGGAATCATATAAATTTATTTGCAACTTGTCATTTTTCCTGGTCGTGACAGAATCTATTTTTGTATTTCTCGCGCAAGTGTGAAACATACTGAAATAAACAGGTAATCATGTCATTACATGCGCACAAGTCCCACGTCTATTCTTAGTAGGTCAGTCTTAGTTAAACATTAGGTCATAGCAAGGACGACCTACTGTGCATAATCATTAATTTATTTTACAACTGCTTATGAAAATATTATGTTGACATAGTTCTATTCAGTTATCATGTCAGTTAAGAGTATCTTGCATGCTAAAGTATCTAAGTTTTGTCACATCAGAGACTGAGAGTCAGGGTTTACTAGAAAATGCAACGGCATCTTAGTGAGAACCATTAAAAGATATACAGAAACATCACTCTTCACATTTATCAAATGAAATTCATGTTGTGTAGAATGCATTATATGAGCTTTATGCATTTTCGAATAAAATCCATTCACAAACTTCATCTAAGCGAGTAAGGTCATGTTTTCCAGCTACTTTTTTAATTGTTTCTACACTGAAACGAAATTCAGAAGCAGGCACAACATTCTCTTCAGTACCGCAGCAATCACAGAGAAGAGGCAAATTATGCTTACGGATCTGAAAAATATTTGCATATTTCTAGCAAAAAGTATTTTCTTTCTCCTAGAATAGAATTGAAATGTATCGACTTACCGCCCCACAACGTGTACATTTGAAATCTTGAATTATGTAGGCAATCAAGAGCTGATTAACGCGCTCGATTAGGAGCTCCTCAATAATGGTAGTAGGGAAGTGCCTCCCACAGTCTGGACAACTCCATATTTCAGATTGGCAAACATCCAAATCATTTGACTGACAACAAGCAGAACAGAAAAGCTGAGTTAAAATGCAGGATACATTTAAGGACTGCCATCGAGATTCATCTGATGTATCATTCACGTTCAACATACGCATTAGTTGATATCGCAGCTGAAGTTGATATTTGTATTTACAAGCGGAAACTGACTTATATATAGAAGTAATTCCCTCACAACTAAAGATTAAAACAGTGTGACCGACAGCCCAACATTCAGCTTCGATTTTGCATATGTATATTTCATATATATATTAATTTTACATCAAATAACAGTCCTTTAATGAGTGTTTTGATTGTTGCTTTTTTAAAGGTTCAAAGCAAAAGCTTAATTCTTTTACTCTAATGTTACTTTTTCCATTTGTTCGTTTACAACAGCATCGAGTCCAATAAAATGGGATATTCCTTTCACCATTAGAATAATCGAATCTCTTGATTTAGCTTTTTCTGGAACAGACCGTAATGTCAAATTATTTATGAGATCAAACATTTGCTCAGTGATTTCTTTCGTAACAAGACGCAAGCGATACTGTTTTTGTTCTTCGATATCGTTCTGTAAAATTTAGGAATGTAAAACGTTATATACAAATGTCAATATGGAATACAAAGTAAGAGAAGGAGCTTTTACGATAATGTCATCCATGAACCAAAAATTATAGATGTAGTGCAGAACCTTTCGCATAATGCTTGGAGAATACAGAATATTTCATGGCGAAAAATAAACTTACTACTGATTTTATGTTATTGCCAACTAAAACAAGATAGCCAATCAATATTTGTTTAAACAAGTTCTGATAATTGTCATCCCCAATAAACTGTGATGTATTGAGCTTAATCGTGATTTCATTACTTTCTTCTTCTTCTCCCAAAAGAATGCCAATATGATCACTCTAAAAATGCTTAACAGTATCAATTGAAGAAATGAATGAAAGAATAAAAATAATGTTAAAAATAAGTCACTCTAAGCAAAATGTTTTCATAAATTTCTTTACGTGCGAATTAGGTTTAAAAAAAAAAATTTTCAAAATATCACTGAAGATTGAAATTTTACCGAGTCGACCCATAACAAAACATCCCAAAACTTTGTTGCTTTCACGTTTAGTGATGCGAAGATTGCATGCTCTTCAAGCGACGAACATAAACTGCTTACAAATGATCGCGCATGCTCAAGTGATAGACGTTGAGTGGAAATAATTAATCTCGAATTTGATGCATATATGACGTATCCTCCTAATCGACTCACCTGAACAAGCCGTTTTATCGATGGGCTGCATATACGTAATATTCGATAAAACATAACTTTAGCACTGTATTAGGCAAATTTTAACAAAGTGGAGACTAGGAGTTCTAATAAATAAACTTTAAATTTTACTGAATTGGATCAGACAACTTTCAAAATAATTATAAAATTCAGCTGAAAAAACTCACGAATCATAAAAATTTTATTTTAGAAGATAAAATTTCAGCCCCACCTACACTAGTATATTATTATAACATAGCTTCAATAAGGAGAGCGAATTATTTCAGTAACATATATTTTACGCAGTAACTAAAAAAGATTAATTGTATGTTACGCTTGATTTACAGAAATTTTTGAAGATTTTAACAAGAGTTTTTAACTGATAAGCATTTTCACCTACTTCAGCAACCAAAAGAAGAATTAACTTTGTTATAAGTATGTCGACTACGTGAGCAATTGCAGGATCATACATCATGGTATGCTGTGTGCGTATCCAACTGTAAAAAATGGCCTTCATTCAAACTTATGTTACAGCATGATATCTCACCTTCAATAAGTGGATTTTAGAATTTCAAGCAAACAAGGAAGACAGTATTTTTAGTCAGTAAAATTTAGTATATCATTCACCGATTGATGCTTATTACTAACTGATCGGCAATTTTGTTGCCAGTTAAGTGAATATCCTTGATACATTCGTGCAGCAATTGTCGAAGGACCTAAATTTTTGTATATTCAAAATTCATACAAGTAACAAAATAAAATAGGCCAAATTCCAATTTTCTGATTACTGTGCAATTGCGTTTTTCCATCTCTCTAGTGAGCAAATGATATGAATATTGCATGCGACAAGCCTGACTAATAGAAAACTTGACATTTCAATAAATTCATAAAGTTTAACCAATACAATGTCAATGTTATATCTTGTTATCTCACCTTCAATGGACCTGCCACCGCCGCTCCTTCATCATATTCAGCTATGCTTCGAACATGTCCAAGTAGCGCATCTGTTGACAAAGCGCTACCAGTCAGGAAACCCACAGAGTCCGTACCACCCTCTGCATTAGCAATAGCTGCTGACTGCACAAGAGCTGTAACATCAACTGCCCCCAGTTGTAGCTCAACGCATACGCTAGTTTGAAAGCTTAAAACAGCACTTGAATTAAGTTCATGAAAAAGGAGATATCTCTTAAGTAATAACACTACATCAATGAAGAGATTTTCCGATCAATTTCTGTAAATAAAAAGTCGTTTTTATTCAATTAATTGTTAGTTACAATTAATTTCTCTCGCTTCATGCTTTTCCTTCTTCTGCGCTCTTATATAAAAAACAAGTTAATCTAGGATTAATATTTTTGAAACTCTAAAAATGAGCGAAGAATCCAATGAAAATTAATGCATCAAAATCGGAAAAAAGACACTTTATAAATTCAACAATATAAATCTGTACCAAAAGTATGCACCTGGACTCATTGATTAGACAAGCTGCCTGTTTACTGACACAAATTGATGACCAAACAGCGTTTAAACGTGCGTCATCAAGTTCCTTACCACCAAGATCTGGTCGATTACAAGGTGAGGCCCACAAGACAAATCCTTGATTGATTAAACTTCGAGCAAACAATACATCAGGACCAAATGTTGAAAAATCTTCGGGTATATTTCCAATCGGAATATGCAGATAGCGACTTATTTCTACATATTGCTACAATAAAAAAATGCATGATAAAATACAAGTTTTTTAAAGAATTCAGCATTTTATATGATACATGCACAATTTAATATATCAGAAAATTTTATGCATTTAAAGATAAAAATGAATGCTTGTCAATATATTCATACTGAATATTGTCAATCAATGATCTTCCTTTGAAATTTCAATAAGTGAGAATGAATTGCTGGAATTTTTTAACATAGCAGTATAAATTTCGAATTTTTTCTTAAAAACACATATGGACTGTAATCATACAAACAACTGACTGTTTTCAGTTCTAACATAAAATTTTCATGATAACTTGATTGTAAAAACTTACATGTAAATACAAAAACATGTTGAAATAATGTTTTATAATTCGACTTAAAACAACACGCTGCCAATCCAATACATTAAAAAGAGCAGATGGTTCAGTAACATATATCCGTACAAGAGGATAGCTGTCAAGCACTGGTAATCGTCTTGCTAGCACAGACAAATCTTCCTTTGACTGCACAACAATAACTGTAGGGAAAGTGTCCATTTGCCGCAAATTGCGGATGTACTGCAATGTATTTTTTTTAAATAGTAAGATTAGTTCATTCATTATTATATATGAAAATGTTCATTCAAATAAATCTTTACATTTGCAATTCAACTGCTTTTTAATTATTTTCTCCTAAACATATTTTCTTAAAAATATTTTTTATACATGAATACAATCTACACTATGCTTTCTGGATACCTTTTCTATTGTTACAATCAAGAATGTCAACTGAAATAAATTTGTGTGACCTTAAAGTGCACCAAGCCAATAGTTATTTATTATAAAACCATTTAACAACATATCGCTAAAAACAAAAAAATTACTAGTAACAATTCTTTTTAAATTTATACAGTCTTTTCTTATATGTTAATTATATGCCAACATAGTATTACAAACTGCATTAGGTCTATATTACCATTAAATGTATAAAACAAATTACCTTCTGAATTATTCGATCAGCTCTTTCGATGGAAACACATTGTGAGATTGTGAAATCCATATCGGCTTTCTGGTCAAGAAAAGAGTAACCAGTTTCATTAGATCTCAAATTTATTATTTAGAAACTTACAAGGAAATAAAAAGAAAACTTTTTCAAGTACTTAGAAAAATCCAGTAGAAAATTAGCTCGAATAATTATTGAAGATCAGAATCACCATTTGTAAAGAATCTGCATAAAAGCTATAAATATTTCTTTAAAACAAATAATGAAGCATTTTTGGAAACGCATAATTACCGCTTTCAAAGTTTTAAAACTTTTGGACGAAAATTGCAAAAAACACCTACAACTTTGTTCGTTCCTTTTCAAAAATAAATGATAGGTTTGGCAAATCTAATTTAGCTTTATTAACCACAACAAATTGAGCTTCTTTTGCAAATGGACTGAACACTGCCATAACTGATCTTTTATCTTGATGATGTTCGTAAAAAAATAAACTACGAATTGTATTTTTTGGGAGATACTGTACTGAAAAATCCTGAAATTTTATTTTTTTAAAGACAAAACGAACACAAAGAACTTGATTACAGAAGAAAAAAACTGAAATTAAGATTGATCAAATCTAGTCTTCAATACTAACCGATTCAAAATTTTCAAAGTCATATACTGTAGCTGAGGACATCTGAAAGTTTGACTTCAGCCGACAGCTACATCCGAAATTAATTATTGCTCGGAAAAGCAACGGCACCTGCGATTCGTACACACCCTCTATCCTCATTGCGCACAGCTCTCTATTTAGCTGGCTATAACCATTTGCTTCCATAATTTTTGAACTACACTTTGGAGCATCATGAATTGAAAAAAGATCAAATGAAATAAATAATTACAACTTTCTTTTTAAATTTTAATATCAACTGCAATTATGTTTAAAAAAACCACAAATTACTTCAAACTCGACTCAAATACTCTCTCGTCGATAACATATCGTCGCAAGTTAAAGAGAGGTTTCAGGCGTGGAAGAATACGCTTAACGATCACTCCAAAATTCGCATTTTCTTCTCGATCATTTACATAAATAACTCGGGGAATTCGCACATTAATCTTCATCATTTTGGCATTAATAACACACCACATAGCTAGCATACCTTGGTTTGACGTCTCTGATATCTACAATCAGAACATAAATCTCCAGTCAAACGATTTACTGACATTTTATCAATTTTTATGTATTATAATACCAGAGCATATTTTCTCCTCTGAAGACGCCAAGAATAAAAATTTGTAAACGTGCTAGAGCCTAACAATTTCAAAATCTAATACAGGGTCACTGAAAATTACGTCCGTTTGTAACAGTTCAGTATAATTCACTTATTAAAAAAACAATGACTGAATAATCAACCATATAGTTTTATTCCGAACACATGGTATTTTATTTATCACAAATTTGCAATAATCGACCTGGATTATTTGCCACACTGCATCTCGCATCACACGTTTACTTTGTTCAAGCATGGAAGTAATCGGTGTGATTTTTCTCGCTACATTCAGTCCTTTATGAATTTTATTCGCTTTTCGTGCCTTCCATTTTATTTTTAAATATCTAAAGCACTTATGGCTTACAATTTATGCTAATTATATTAAAGCTTCAGAAAAAAGGCAAAAATTTCTAGCTTTTTTGTCAGTCTTCTATCTAAATACAAAATATTCACAGACTGAAAATAGAAAAAATAAATTGCACCTTAACCATTCTTGGACTCCATGTTCAACGATTGTCTTTTTTTCTATTATATCTGATTGGTTAGTTTTTTGAACCTTTATTATGGACCCTTGTAGTTCATTTATCACCGCGCTTTTAGTTGAAGAATTCTGAAATAAATCAAAGTTAATACATCTAAAATTCAATAGTTAACAAGATCAAATAATCAGTATTAATTAGCTTTACCTCCACCATATTTGAAGATTCACTGAGAGGTATAGCATCTATTGAAGACTTGAGTTCAGTGGCTCTCTTCGTTCCAATGTTTTCAATATCAATTTCAAATGGTGCAACATCGGCTTTTTTGAAAATGTCATTAATTTTTGGTTGCTTGTAGTCATTTTTCCGTTGTTGACGTTTACTTTCTAACCAGTCCGGAAAAGGAACACGTGGAACTGGATTGGGAATGTTTTGTAAAGCAGCTGGAATGGAAATGATTTTTTGAACAGTAGATCCGAAACGTTCCACATAATAATCCCAATCGATGATCTGCAGTTGTGCTACTGTGTTAGCTTCATTTGGATTAGTAAATCTAGATTCACTAATAGAAAGATATATATGTTTGTAAAATTAAACAGCGATCTTCATCTGATTTTTTTGAATGATAATCAAATACCAACATGTCGAATATTGATATTATCTTTGGTGATTGCTGTATCCCTGGTCCATTTTCGAAGATAGTGCGCACATACATTTGGTGATGCTTGGAATATAGCCAGTGGAATGGCTCTCTGTGCTACAGGTGCATCAAGGGGTAATTTCGAAATAATAAAACGGCAAGCAAGACCAGCATCTTTAACCATATCGTCGCCAAGAAACTATGAAATAATTTCAATATGGAAGCAATGCATCATTTATTGTGATCAATTAATTTATAAAGAAAAAACAAATGGTTTATTTTTTATTATGAAAGCAAAATCTTCCACTTCAATTGATAATTCGATTTTATTTCTAATAAAATAGATTGCAGAGTCATGATTTACTTCAGCCAGACGCTTGGCTGTAGAGATAGATGTTGACTTTTGTTCGCCATAATCATCAAGTTTTTTAGACATGCTTCGATTCTCCGCAATTAAATCGAAAAGTTCACGATCTGGTAAACTAGCACCCTAGAAAGAGGTGAAACTATATACAACATTATGTATAATGAAGTTTTAAGATCAAAATATACTAGATAAAAAGTAGATATATAAAACGTCGTATATGTTCAGTAGTTCATTATATGCTTTACTTGGTATATAGTAAGTTTTACTTTTTTTAAAAGTATTTTTAGCTTTTATAAACCAAGGAACATTCCATGCGTCAAGTGAACGACGGAGTCGTTCTGAGACTGAAAATATTAAGATATCCTTAGTGCTATGCGGACTTATAAATTATACTAATGAAGACTCACTTTGGAAAATAACACATCTAACCAATAGTTCGCTTCATTTGCTGCATGTTCATATGCTTCCAAATGATTTTTACCTTTTAGAAACGCTTTGAAAACCGAATTTTGAAAATACTTGATAAGTGCTAATTCACCACGTCTCTTTATTTCAAAGCCTTTCAGCTCAGCAAGCGAACCATCAAAATTGAAAACCGCATACCTGAAATTCAGAATTCCTTCCCAAGTAAAAATAGACTGCAATCAGTAAACAAGAAAATATACACTTTGATAACCTCTTTTTTAGTTTTTTCCCTTCTTCTCTAGATGCTGGAAGAAACATTGCCAGGTACGGTCCATCAACTTCAAAAAATATGGAGTTTTCAGAACTTATTGAGTACGTTCCATCCTGTTCAAGCTGGTGATACTGATCATTTGTAAACTTATCACGCACAAGTGCATTCAAAATTGCACCAGGATATGAAACAGTTATCTGCAATCGATAGCCATGGTCAGTCAAATGCTCAAAGATGAAAAGAACTTCAGCACCTAACAAACTATACTGTAGAAGAAACCAAAAATACACCATTTTGCGTTTAGAACTCCTTAAAGTGAAGGTAATATTCTCGGGAAATGATCCTGGAATCAGACACCAAATCCCATCTGTATCAAGTTCCAAGGGTTTGCCAATTTGTTCCACCAGTTTTCGAGCTTCGGTGATGATATTTGCTCCTGTATGGCAAACAATGCCAGCCATTTCCATTGAAAACCATCGTGATCCTCAACGATAAATTCATATATGTGATGCGGAGAAATTAGGAACCTTAATTTTGTTCAAAGATTTTCAATAATAACCTTTACGCATCACATATCCATAAAATGAATTCAGGATACATTTGTGAGCAAGTTGCAAACTTTCATACAAAACGACACGCCCTTGAGCTATTTTCAAGGCATGAATATCATCTTCCGATATTTCGTCCAAAACTCTTTTTGCTTCCTGTAATAATTTATGTTACTCACACTATATAGACGATAGAAACTGGTAATAATGAAATTTTTTAATCACTGAGTTTTACTTAGAAACAAAATCTAATGTAAACTGCGATTCAAATAACATTCTTAATCTCAAAAAGTATATAAAAGATCATCTTATTTAAAAAAATCATCCACTAACAAAAAAGTTTGAGAAAATGAATAAAATGGAACGATCAGAACAGTTTCATATTTACTTTAAGCAACGCTTTGTATTCATATCGTCTGTCTCGAAAAGCTTTGACGGTATCGACATAAAATGCATTCTCTCTTTGGCATATTGTAGTATATCTGAACTCATTTTTGGTAATATGAGTTTTGCCATACGCACGTTTGCAAAAATCTAAAAAAAGTAAAAATGAGCATTAGATGATAAGTAATTAACACGTTTTCAGCATATTTTCTGCTGTACTAAAAGATTTGGATTTTACTGGTACGACGTCGCACATTCAAAATGAGAAATTAAAAGACTGTACCTTGAACACGCTTAATTTCAATTTGACTTCTTTGCTCACGATCTAAACGGTGAAATGGCTTTGGTGGTTTACCGAATTTTTCGTTTTCCAATTGTTGCAAAATGCGTTCATATTCACCTTTTGAAGCAGGCACTATAAAATCATGATAGTCAATGTCAGTCAAATGTCAAATTTTATGTTCACAAATGATTAAATCTTTTAAACTTCAACTATCAAATTTAAAAATCAAAACCCACTGATTTCTCCTCGCCATTCCCACTGCAATGTTCGTTGACACTTTGCATCTAATGTATTATACACACAGGCTATACATCTTTCATTCGTAACTACTGCAGATGGCTGAACATTTTCAATTGTCTACGGTACATCACTTACGTGAAAAACGTAAAGTTAAATTTAAAAATTTTTTCTGAGGCAAATTGGCGTAGTCATCGCTCATATCAGTTTTGGATTATTTAAAACATAATTTATTGTTTAAGAATAAAGCATCTACACTTTATGCCTTATCGATAATAGGAGATATCAATAAAAAAATTGTGTAATTTACGGGTGAGTTTGAATTAAGTGATGAAAACTAAAACCTGTGGTGTCAAAAAATATATTGTAGACAAATAAACAAACTTGGAGACGATTAGTGAGAATAATATTTGGATACATTGCTGCAACATCCAAGTGATAGATCTTGGGAGTTTCAAGACGCAAAGGTCTTCTAATAAAATCGTCAAGCTGTGCTTCAACCTAGAAATTGATTTAAAAAAAACCTAATTAGTCGTGAGCAAAAATTTTTTTAGATTTTTCAAATATTGGGAGAACCAAGTGACAAAATAAACAACACTATAAATTCACAAAATCAAAGCCTTCAATTTAAATTTAAATCAGTCATAAATAACAGCCACTAAGTGATGAATGCTTTGTGCAGCAGAAATATAGAATTTCTAAAAAAACTTTTGCTCCATATTAAATGCTGTAACGTCATAAAAGTATCAAAAAATTTGCACTTTTATTACCTCAAGGACTACATCATTAAAATCAACGACTTCATCCATTTTAATACTAGATTCTCGCGTTAGCGAGTACTCCAGCGTTTTCTTGAGATTGTGTTTCAAGTCTACGATTGTAGCTGGCACGATTCGAAATCTATAAATGGTGGGAATCTATGAGGAAGCATACAAGCCTCATGAAAGTGAAAGATTAATACGACACAAACCTCTCCGGAATATCAGCACGGAAAATACCAGATTCTAATGCTTCAACATGCCCTCCTACATACGTTTCACTTTCAATTATATGTCCATCAGCAGTATACTTTGTCCCGTAATGTAGAGATTTATTAGGAAAAATTATATTGTTTTGGAATGCTCTAACCATCAGAAGTGCTTCACACAGAGTACCAGAACCCTTTCGAAGTACCCAAAAAGAAACTTTTGTTAAAGAAATTCCAGTTATGTAAAAAAAATTTTCTTAATATATTTTAACTGAAAAATGAGTAAAAATGATGAACAATAAGATTTCCATTTATTTTCTGTCATTTCAATGAGAAAAAATTTCTGCTTCACACTAGTGTAGTACAGAATGCCCAAAAATCAGGATTCTTATAACAAAAATTAAAAGAAATACATCGTCAGGACTCAACGGTATAATAGTGCATAAAGCAAATATAAAGGGATGGACATATTTAATGTACAAATAATATGTTGCCACTGCGTCGGATACTGAGTAATTTGCTAACGTCTGAAAAATAAAGCTTTTTGAAACTGGAGCATTGCAATTAGATTCAATAAATCAGTAGTTCTGTTTTTTCCTTATTATTTCACATATGAAAGCTAAGTCTTGATTGAACAACATAGGATTAAGTACTAAAACTAGAAACGATCACTATTGTTAACCTGTGGCTCATCTTTAGCCATTATGCACATTTGTTCAGGATCAAGTTCAATTGGATCATACCGAAGTTTGGCTTTGGTACACGCCTTAAGATTTTGACTTCCTACTGGCAAATAACTATCCCGTTTTACCCATCTGTAACCTGATCAATAAAAAAAAAATATAGACTGTTATAATGACAAACTGCCATAAATCTTGATTTATCGAGGTTAGAAATAAATTAGGAGAATAAACTTTATCAAATTAATTCCAAAAATAAAAGTATTATTGACTTGAATGCATCAATATGAACTGCATTTGTGGTTCTGTATTCTCCAGCTGGATTTCTCATAACACCGATTTCAGTCGACATAAGAAAACCATGTACTGCTGCACGAGCTTCCACAAAAGGCCTAAAATATAAAAGATAAAATTTAAATACAGATAAAATTTTATTTAAAAATTTTAACTAACCAATCGAATGAATCGCCATTATAGGTGACAAATATTGATGGACGAAGTCGTGTGATATGGTCGAAGAAATATTTGATAACGGCTTTTTCGTCCGGTAAATTCATTACCCGAAATAAACCCTAGAAACCAATAAAGAAGAAAATACAATACAAGTGTTTCCAAACACTTTTCAGCCATTTTTTCACAACAAATGGACTTAAACAACACAGAAATAAATCAAAACATCTTGATAGACAAGGAGAATGCATTTACATGCTTGTGGAAACTGATTTTCTTGCTCCATGCTATTACTAAAACTTACTTTATACTCCGGCCCTGGAGTGTATTCAAAATCATCCACATCGGCAGAAATAATTTCTCTATTTATAAGTAGAAATCCATTTCCATTAATCATGTAAGAAATCATCATTATTTGATCTATAGCACTATCCGGAAATTTCAAAGGCAACTTTGTGACTTCAATGTCATACGCTAATATGATTGGTTCTGGTGGATCAATCAGAGTTGGATGTCGTATAATTTTCGGTTTTCGAGATAAATCTCTTCCTGTTACACGATACCACAAGCCTACGCACACTTCCAAATCAATACACACCCTCATCTGGTAAGGTAAATCATGTTCCCTGCAAAATATACTATGAGAGACTGCGCAACATGAAATATACCTATGTTTACTATGATATCAAAGCGTTTTGAGAGGAGCTAGCTCGCATAATTTTATTAAACGATCATTATTAATTGCTCATTTCCATCATACTTTGATCCAAGTCTTGTTTTTACTTTTAGGAACTACAAGAATAACGATAAATAAATAATTTTACAGCTGATCATAAAAAAGTGCAGCGTTAGCAATTTTAAGCGTGAAATTAAGACTACGACTACGCCTCTAAAAAATTTTTTTCGTCTTAAAAAATAACAGGAAACAGCAAGATCATGCTACAAAATAAAGCTAAAAAAAGAAATTAGCAACAAGAAATTATACATAATGAAAACATGCAATAGATGCATAAAACACGTATAATGAATTATTTCTAAACTTAAAATGCTTCATCATACCTCAAATCAATGATTTTTTCCAAAACACCACCATCATCTGTAAGGACATCTTTAACACCAAAATGTCTGAAAAATATTAGTGTGACTGATAAAATCTTAATAAAGTAAAAAAAATTAAGATTAAATCTATGAAATCATAGCACAAACCTGACGAGAAGATTTGTATAAGATGTTGTTTGCTTTTCCCTTTCTTGATTTTTCCTCAATACTGATATTACGTCTTTCTTGAACTTTACAAGCTCATTCAGACTTGGAAATGATATTTTTAAATAAGTTCGCTTTAGTCCAGATAAATGATTTTTCTGCAAAAAATTCTTATTTTTACGCAATTTGAAAAAAATTGCTTCCTGAAAGAAAGGACTGACTAAATCAAGATCTTCCTTTTCGACTATATCCACTGTGATTACACTTGCATACTTCTTTGATAAATAAGATAGGACCATGTGTTCGAACGAAGGAAGCGTTGCGATGTACAGATAAGGACGGAAAGGATATGATATCTGAACAATCATAGACATAAACACTTTAAAAACATTTGTTCACTCTGATTACAAGTTTTTGTAGGGAAAAAACAAATCTTTGAGATCTATATAAATGATTACAAATAAGTAAAATTTAAAAACCTTGAAGCGTCCGCCATCTTCCGAAAGAAAGTAAAAGTCACATATTGCAATAATATTTTTTGTTTCATCATCTACCATTTCAGCCTATAAAATAATTTGAAAAGTTCAGGCAATTTGAATTTGAAATAAATGTCTGACCTTAATACAAAATACACATAAAAAACATCATACTGTAAAAAATACACTCATGTATGAAGAAATATCAGAATATTGCTTTTATATATACTATATATAATTTATCAACTTGCCGACTGAACATTCAGTAACCAAGCATTTTGCCATTCTACATCGGTATAACGTTGAAAACCGAATCTCTGATCTAAAACCTCCAATGAACGAATTTTTTCTAAGCGTGATCGATAGCTGGAGTCACTAGAAACATAATTTGCAGTAGTATTGTTTCCTACATACATATATTAAATCATCAGAAATCCCTTGAAGTCAAATACACTCAAGCTTCGGCCTCAAATGACCAGAACTAAAATTTAATAAAAACGAGTTGAAATGTCAATTTAAAAAGTCTTTATCTGTTCGACAATGAAGTTGAAAAGTTGTAACGATAATTCCAATACGTTTCGATATAAAAGTTCTCAATCTGGGTCAGTAATATGTGAAACAAAACAATATATGCATCATGAAAACATTTTTACCTCTCCAATTCAGTGCCTATCTGTTGATCCATATGTTGACTTAATTTAATACCAGCAATTCATTTATGTAATGCAATCTGCAAAGAAGCTCCAAGGCTTCTCCACTTTTCTGAAGGAAATTATCAATTACTTTCAAAATTTTTCAGTCAGATAATAAAATTAACTAAGTGGATATTTTCCCAAAATTATTTTGTTCAGTACTATAACAAAGTAAATGAATGCATGACGATTCATGGATTAGATATAAACAAGATTCCTCCACTCTTCAAAAAGTTTATGTAATGGCGATCAAAACAACACTTCAGGAAAAAGAAATCCATTGAACACGTTGAATTACTGCAAATGAAATTTTTTATTCACATTTCGCTCTAATATTAGAATTAATTGCTAGAGAAAAAACATAAGTATACTGACTGAAAAATATTATATTTCACAAATTTACTGAACTTAATGCAAATACAATAGTGCTGCACAGTTCTAAAACATTTGCCGTTATATTTTTCTTAAATTTAAAAAGTTAGAGATAAAAGAAATTAAAATGAATTCCTACGAGGACACTAAAATTGTACGGAAACGATAACATTTTACCCTGAAAATTTTCGCGCGCGTTTCATTTATTTGATAATTTCATGGTTTGCAACAATGGATAAATTGATTTCTATTGCAGCTAATTAATATCTAATTTTCCGAAAATATAACAAATGCAATGAAGGTGATTATCTACGGGAGTAATTAAAAGAATAACTTACGAAGATAAGCAGCAATTATTGGGTTATGAACCTTATGAAAAAGTTCTTGTAGTATGAATAACGCACTAAACTGAACTGCATTGATGGGATGTGAAAATTGTGAAAACTTTGTTGGTAAATACTTTACTTGTGAATCTCATCAAATTTATACTGCTGGAATATGTGTACTTCAGTACTTCATATATATTTAACTCACGTGCAGACGGTGCTCACATTAGTAATTGTATTAGCAAATAGCCAACAAAATATTTTTATTTAGTTAAAGTTCGAAGAGTAATTTGGTGTTATTAGTAGTTAAAGAACAGAAGCCACAAAAATGTACCTCAATTACAGTACGAAATTCGATTACTTTTTTTAAAACAAGTACTGTAATTGTTTTCAAACAATATTCACACTGCAAGATATCATTTCATTGCTGATGAAGTTTTTCCAGCTATAATTACTTTGATTTTTTTCGAAATATGTGTAGAAGTGAGCAACACTTTGCCAAAAATTTTTCAACTTCAAATTAGTGCTTAATTACATTTTATATTTCAAATAATAAAATTATATTTTGGCCGCGGCCGCTTTTCGCTACAGGAAAGTAAATAATTGGAAGTGTCGTCATAATGTAAACTGTAAGATATTATATAATATGGTGTGCTGTTGTACATTAAACGTAAGCATGCACAACAGTTTTTGTGCTTTTTATCTGAGCAATTAGTGTTTAAGTATGATTGAAAGATTTTTAGATGATGTGATCGCTGTGATGAGGAATAAGTTGGGACTCGAGAAGGAGCAAAGCGGATCTGCAGCATATGTCGAGGGAACACATATTTGGATAGTCCTTGCCGGTATTTGTGTATACTATCCACTTTCAATTGGACTGACATTTTTTCAAAAATGGTTCATTAAGGTTAGTGTGTCACACTTTTTACGTGAAATTTCGCCATTTTTTTTCTTGCTTATGCATAATGTTCATTGTGTTTTTAAAAGTTTTATAAGATTTTAATAGTTTTCATACAGTCATAATGTATATGGTTTTCATTACAGAGTTATAAGCTTCCTCTTTTTGTCGTCACGTGTCATTACGTTATCAAGTACCTAATTGCTATTGTTATTCGATTTTTTGTGGAGTTATATACAGGAAAACGTGCTCGAGTACCTTTGAAAGAACAGCTTATGTGGCTTGTACCGATTGGTATTTGTGCATCTCTCGATATTGGTTCATTTCATTCAGTTATTAGTAGTGCTAATCATTCATCAGTTTCTATTCAAGAGAACATTTGTTTGAACACTGGAACGTAATATTTGGAATATAAAATAAAGTGTTCAGATATTTTCATAAGTTCACATGGAAACTAATTTCACTCTAACGTTAAGCGTGCTTTTAAGTAGAACTTTGTTCAACAAATTGCTAAAAGGAAGGCACTTCTCAAAAATTATTCTTTCTTGTTAAGTGAACCATTTAACAAGAAAGAATAATTTTCTAATGAATGATTAATGAATGTTATTAATGAAGAAAGTAAATTCTAAATTGTTTTTAAGGCTTATCGAACTGGGCCTTGGAATATGTAACCGTGAGCTTATTTACAATGGCTAAATCTAGCAGTATATTGTTTATTGTTGCATTTGCTTTGCTACTACGTTTGGAACGATGGAGACCTAATCTTGTCATATCTGCAGGGCTAATTGCATTTGGTTTATTCCTCTTTACATGGAGGTTTACGTGTTTAAAAAAATTTGTAGGCTGATTACTGCATCATTTCCAGTTATGGAATTTTGGAAGTATAGTATTTTTCATAGAAATAACTAAAGAATAACTTCAGTCTATTATATCATTTTTCTGGTCAGAATTTCTGCATATGCACATTATTGTTTTAACGATTTTTGATAGTTTTTCGTTGTAAATTTAGCTTTTTTTCGTCCCTTTTTTCCATATTCAAGTACAGCGCTTTTTTCCAGATCATCTTCATTTGAAATTCATGGCTTATTGTTGATCGAGTTAGCAGCAGCATGTACAGGTTTAAGGTGGACTGTTTCTCAGGTCATAATGCAAGGAGAGGAAAAAATGCTGAAACATCCATTAGACATGGTTGCACATGTACAGCCATGGATGATTATCGCTATTCTTCCGCTTCTTCTTATTTATGAAGGTGGCAATTTTCCTAACTGAAAATATGAAAAAGTTTGAGTAATTTACTGTGTTTAGTGTTTGATTCTCTTATTTTCACTAGAGTGAAACTTTTTCTCATTTTTAAAAATATTTCTATTTTACTTTGCGAATCTGTTTGCTTATCTGCTGCTGAAAATAGTTTACATTCAGTACTTCATGATTTTTTGCATACAAATTAAATTCTACCAGTAAAGCAGATCAGCAAAGTAAAATAGAAAAAAACATTAGAGATTTACTCAGTTTTTGAGATGAAGTCGAATCAGATTTTTTTACTTGTACTTGAAATAATTAAATTTTGAATGTTTTATCAGTAATTTACTGAAATTAATATCATGGGACGAGATATTTTTTTAATAAAAATATTAATCTTACTTGATTGTTATTAATTACTTCTGTACAGTTTTCAAATTTTGTTGGTTATTACAACTATAAGATGCAATTTGAAAGGAAAGCAAGTGTTTCTTTAGATTCAGTATCTCTTTCCTTCAAATCCATCGTATATTTTTTATATTTTTAACTTGAAATAATGTTGTTTAAAGTTGCGTTACTTAATTTCGCGCACTAATAAAGCTTCCTTTTAAATAATTTTTCAGGTTCTCAAATGTCTTTTGACAAAGTTGCAAGTTACCGGGATAATCACGCACCATTCTCCGTACTACTTTTTGTTTCAATTGGTGGTTTTTTGGCCTTTGCTATGGAAATGGCAGGTAATAAATTACTCTGGCATATTAAATTTAGGATCAAAACAAAAAATGCTCGGTAAATTAGTAAAATTACATTTTTCGACATTTTTTACTTTTTATTTTTTGCATAAATTTAAATTTTAGATTACTTATTTTTGGTAACTAACTCATTTTCGTAATTGACTAATAAATTTTCAGTTTCATACGTTAAAAATTGACAAACAACGCATTGTAAATCTCCATTTTCTTTCTTGCTTTACTTCAGTCCTTTCAGAGTATCTTCTTTTAGTATATACATCGGGTATTACACTGAATATATTCGGAATTATTAAGGCGAGATTTTATTCACTTTGTTGTTTTAAAACTATTTTTGATTTTACTTCTGTATAATAAAGTCCAAACTGTGTTTGTATTTACTCAACAAGTACTTCAGGAAGTGGTGACGTTGTCTCTGGCTCATTTTATTAATGGTGATAGTTTTTCAGTGGTAAGTAAATTTGCTCTTTCAATTCCAAAAGTTTTTGCACTAAAATTATTTACTAATCAAAAAGTTTTCCATTTTATTAATTTTCCAGACATTGAATTTATTTTTAGATCAATACTATTGGTTTATTTCTGTGCTTTAGTGGTATGCTTTTACATGCTTTTTCAAAAAGAAAATTCTTAAACAGTCGCTTGAAATCACCAAGGCTGGACAGAAGAAGACTATTAACGGACGTTGATACTTAATGTTTTATTTTTAATTTCTTTGTTTTTATATTACTGAGAATGAGCCTTTATGTCAAGAAAAGCTCAATAGGAGCAAGAACTATGAAAGCGGATCTTTCAAGAGAACACGAAGAAGCTCTAGTTAGCCTGGATCAGCATCTGCTTAGGGGCAATATCATCGTAATACCAAGATATTTTGTTATGAATAACCACTATATCCCTTGCTCTCGTTTTCGATTGTTTCTCTTAAATTGACTGACCTATAACTCTTAGTTTGGGATACATTGTAAATAGTGAATTTCTGTTCCTGAGAGTTCCGGCATAGCTTCGAGCCAATATTATTTTTCTGTTTCTGATTTTTTAAACTAAGAAATACAGTACTTAATCCTATTTTTCTCTACTTATGTTACAATCTGTTCCAGAACTTTAAACTTTGAAGTATTATGCAAATGAAAGATATTTCTTCGCTACAAACGGTTATCACGAATTTGATATATCCTTGCTGCACTTTTCTTAATTATCTGTGTGCATTTCCTACCATCCCTGTTATTGTCAGCTCTACAGACTTCATGTCGGCAATTTGTGCATTTGTTTTTGGACATCATAATGCTGCATAAGGGCCATAATTGATCTAATTATTACCGCACTCGGTGTTTAATTTTTCTGCATTACTAGATTCACAAGCTGAAATCTGTGACGGCATTGGGATGCCCTTTTCTATGCATAAAACTTCGCGTTCAATGAAGCTTTTAATTGCAGTTTGACGCATTATTATTGTGTGGTATTAATCTTTAAGTGTCAAGATTTCGTTACAGCTCAATTTTTCAGTTTATTTCATGCAGAAATTCTTGACAACATAATTTCATAAAGTTGATTTGCTATTAAATTGCGCACGTAAAACAACAAAATACGACAATGTCCATACCATGGGATATGAAGGGGAAAGTAAAGGAGTGAGGTACATTAATCAAAAATAATTTATCAGTCTAGAAATATAGGAATGTATACATAGTCCAGAAAATTAGAGTCCGGTCAAGTATTTGCGAGGTATAGAAAATTCTATACATATAAAGAACATAGCTTGAGGTCAAGAAAATTTTTCAACATAATCAGTAAGCAAACGAATCAGAAAATCCAGCCCTAACAAATAACCATCATCAGGCCCACTGTATTTTACTTCATTCATCATGGTTGGGCATGTTGAGTGCGCGAAATCGATCATTCGCACGTCGATTGTCGGATCTTCAACCTTTTTTCCATCAAATGCAATTAGTAAAGAACTGGAAAAAAATCGGTATCCATCGGCATCAGCTACTAGCTGCAAGAATATAAGATCTTAGAGCATGAGAAATCTTTAAGATTACACATTAATTATGTGTCAGTCACTAAATAATCAGCATTCGGCTTAAAATAATATTAATTTAAATCGTCTTCCTATACCGGAATGTCATTACATACCTTTCTTAAAACAATCAATTTTTTCAGCAGTTCTGAGCTTCTTGTTTTCCCAGCATATGTAAAAAACTTGGATAACATTTCAGTAAATACTGCAGGATTCATTTGCCTGCCTGCATATTTGTTCACGTAAGAGTAGTCGTTAGTTTCTTCACTAAACAATAAAATATTAGTCGTTAGTTTCTTCACTAAACAATAAAATATTAGTCGTTAGTTTCTTCACTAAACAATAAAATATTTGTGTTAAATAGCAATAACAAAATAAAACTAATCTACTTTTACGGTAGTGAGTAATCCGACATAAGTCTCATTCATTTATTACCAAAAAAGCTAAAAATAAATATATGAACTGCATTCTAAGACTCAAGCCTAAGGAAATTATTTACTGCTGAATTAGATATATATATACTTATAGAACACAGACAAATATGAAGCAAAATTTATCAAACAAAATAACCTGTACAACTGCATCCCGACAAGTCGAACACCGATGGCAGCGCTCGTAGACTCACGACATTTGTCAGTTTGAGACTGTCGTTTTTGATCCGTTGCATCGTCTCCGTACTGCCGTGTACCCATTTTTAGATCGACTACAGACGGATGAGAAAAACAGGATACCGTACTTTCTAAGAGCAAAAACAATGCGTAACCCTATAAAAAACCATCTGGCGGTTCTGAATGAGAACGGAAGTTTGTGTTCCATCAGGATTTTTTTCGAGCAATTTTTAAATATCAACAAAAAATAGAACACCAACACGATTGAATGGACACTTTAAGCTGGTATCCAACAGGAACTGATGGCAAAGATATTCTTCTGTTTCTAGAAGAAAGCGTAAAGACCGTTTGCTGGCTGCAATGATAACGTTAGAGCGCAAACACATACATAAAAAGGAGGAGAAAGAGAAGAAGGGGAAGGAATCTCCCTTCTCTTTTTGCCATGAATTGCAGTATTTGTGAAATACTTCAAGCGAACAAGGCTTTCTTTCTCCTTTCTTTTTTTGTTTACACTAAGATTTATAAAAACTTACTTTCAACAATATTTCCACTGATCTAGCTTGACACCGCTGAGCCCACTCATTGAAATGTTGTTCTGTTTCTACTTCACCGTTTTGATTTAATCGAAAAATGAGCTGCTTATCACTAGCTGTTGCGTTTTGATGACATGATATGCATCGATCGGTAGTTAATACCAAATTTCCATCTTGGCAATTGCGGAGCTGAATACTTACTGTACCTGAATTGCCCAAAAAAACGTATATTTCAATATCAAGCTTACCAAAAAAAAATGATTTTTTAACTGGATACAAAATTTACAATTTTATTGAGCTCCGATTCAGCAAACAAAACACATGAATCTGATAATAGACAATTTTAGTCGCTCCATTTTTTTCAGTTCTTTTTCTTTTTTTTAAAAAAAAAAGTTGCTCTGAATATAAGTCTACTTTAAAATTTAAGACAGAAAATATAATTAACATGTATGTACTACAAAGGAATTTCGTTTAACACAAAGCAAATGATAAGATAAAATGCCATTCATCTAATCAGTCAGCATTTATATAGACGACGCTTATATAGACGAATTTTCTAGTTCTACATAATTTCAAGCGCAAGTACAAAATCTAATTTTAATTAAACCCACCAATCATGACATTATTATAAATTTTAAAAGGAACAGAATAAAATGCAAACCACAACACTGAGGAGTGAATGGAGCAAATCGGTTGCCAATCTGACTATAAAACTCAAGTTCATTATTATTCAAAGGTTTACAAACATGTCCGCCACATGTAAATACACCAAAATGCCCACCAACTTGATGAGAAAAACCCGTTACATCCATGGCTGAAAATATTCATTTTTTAAATAACTGATAACATTAGTAAGGCAATATTGCGCCAATTCTTATTTTACCTTCATTGAAAAAAGCTTATCTTGATCTTTGTCATGAAAAGTAAAGTTTATTTTACTTAGAAAAATGTGACTACTTTCTTCGCACTATCCTAAAATTAAGATCACATTATGTACAAATATTTAATACGAAAGACATTCGTCTTTAACAAAATGACTAAACAAGGTCACAATCAATCCTACCAAAATAATCAAAGCAAACATGCTAAGCTCACATTTCCCAAAGCAAATTTTATCCCTCTGACGCGACACCGCAAATATTTATAATGATGGCCGTTTGTTACGCCGCGATATGCTACAAAGAGATTTCATCATGATATAAATCTGGTCAAATTTACTCTCCGCGGGGTAATTCAACAGCTAAGGAGGAGATCTTGGGAAGATCGGATATTATGGAATTATATCTTATCCAAAAACTTACAAATATCAATCTTGATCTTAGTTTTGAATTTTCTCGAGAGGATATTGATGCGAAAGTCGATATTTCAAATTTTAGGATTAACATCATCGCGGATGTGAACGATAACGAATATCCATCTCTTACGTAATATGATACTACTCGACTACTGCTTATTTCGCATGCAGCTTTAATTTGTGGCTAAGGTTAGGCTGAGTTTCTTTATCTACTGACTGTATCAATAATTGCAAAAGTACATACAGTTGGTCTATCGAGAATGAATGGTGCATATTAATTTGCATTCACAGAATAAGATAAAAAATTTTTGAATAATATAGCCTAAGATTAAATCCATTTGCTCTAAGAATATATGTAATTTTATATTTTACTATAGATAGATTTTAGTTCAGGCAGCAAAATCAAGGGTTAAATATATACACCAACTTTCTTTCAATCTTTTTCGCTATTAAATTTACTTTGGGAAATGAACTTTGCAATGGATGTCGCATAATTTCTTGCAAAATTACAGAAAAAGGTCCGTATTGTACTCAGATTCATTATTCATTATCAGTTTTGAGATGACTTTCAATTAATTTTACATCGTGATTTCCGTGAAAAAGGCAAATTGTGAGTCACAGATTTACAAAAAGCATTGTACTTTATTCTACGCAAAAATTTTCAGTTTTATTTTTAGATGGTACAAATAGAAAAATGGCATCAGTAAGGGGATCTTTTTTGGATGTTTACATTGATGGGGAATGGATCAAGACTTGTGCTACTTTGGATGAGACAGCATTAACTTTAAGCACACCAGCTGATGCTCATCATGGCCAAGGAGCTGATATTCGGACAGTACGAATTGTAAAGCGTGATGGGAATGGTTTGGGTATTAGCATCAAAGGTGGTCGAGACAATGATATGCCCATTATTATCAGGTTCTTATTTATTTTTCATATGAAATGAATTTAGTGATAATTATTTTTTTATACCCAGATATAGATGAATTTGGTATTATTCACATAGTAATCATACATTCTTAAATTCATTGTAAGAAAGCAGAAAAAATTGATCAGATATGTTTTCAGTAAAATCTTCAAAGGTATGGCAGCTGATGAAACAGGGCAATTATTTGTTGGCGACGCTATTGTGGCTGTAAATGGTGATTCACTAGAAGATGCTACTCATGATGAGGCTGTAAAAGCTCTAAAAAAAGCAGGACGTATTGTCGATTTACATGGTTACTTTTTATTCTTTGTTATATATTAATAAGTGGTTTTACTTGCATACTATTGAATATATTAGTGGATTACTGAATTTTAGTTCGCTTCATGCGTGATATGTGCACGAGACGTGAAAATGTGATAGAGCGTATTCAGTGGGATGATGATTCTCATGGCCGGATTCGCAGTATTGGCTTAAAATTAGCTTTTGTAACTCGTACAACTCTTCAACTTGAAGATATTGAGAACAAAATGTTCGAAATACGGTCACCTTCTGGCCGATATTCTCTCATTTTGAGGTTTTTATCCTAGAATTCTACCGAGTTTGGACGTTGTATGAAGCAGCTTTTATTGATTAACTTTCAAGATGTTAAAATTTGCAAGGATTTTTTGTAATTTCCTTGACATATGTGAGGAAAGAACGAGATGTAATTGAAGTTCTCTTTGAAAATTAAGCATTGAATTGAAGGCTCGTAACTAGCTTCTGTTACGAATAAAAACCAATTCTTGTTTTGCAGATGCAGCAATTCAGCAGAAGCAGATGCTTGGTTTGAAACAGTGCACAGTTGTTCTTGCGTGTTGCTAACTCAAGCATTGGCACAAGTAAATTTAATGCTTGGTCAAAATCCACAAGTAAGAAAGATGGGTTGGGTTGCTGAACAGGTTAGTTTAGCTTGCTACTGTATAAATTAAATCAAGAAAAGTATTTCTCCTTATAATTATCATAGTCCTGCTTATACTAACTGTTTGCGAACTCTTGTAACTGCTTTCATCAAATAAGCTCTTGGTTGTAACTACAAGATTGATATCATTGATCTCACTAAAAATTATTTAGACTATATACTCTTTCATTCTTCCAAAAAATAGATTAGAAATTTGCCTAATAAATTTAAAATCAATTCTTTCGTAGTACTTTTTCATGCGTAAATTTACTGAAAAGGTTGTACAGTTCAGTGTGTCTTTAGGTATATTGCTTTGTTGACTTGTGAATCATGCATTCGCACTTTTTGTAAACTTTGCTTTGTAGACAGTCAATGAAAGTGGGATAACTGTCTGGCAACCAATTTTTGCTGCATTGACTCTCAACGATTTATTGTTTTACGACTCTGTCCCAATGTTAAAATCGGAGTGGGCATCTCCTAGAGTCACTAGACCACTAATTGCTACACGTGTTGTGCAGACCACATCACGGTAAAATCGAAATCATTGGCATAGATCATTCATATCTATTTTGTTTCTATAGATTATAAAATAGGTAAGGGTTAGTTTGAGAATAAGACTCATAATTTTATTCGTAAAGTAAGTGGTCTGAAATCATTTCCTAAGATTAAATCCTTATTTTCTTCTCCTTAAAAGTGTACCACTATTCTTTACATAATTAATACAAATTAGAACTGACATTTACAATAAATTTTTGTGTTCTCTGTAAGCAAAACAGTACATTTGACCTTAGGACTGCTCCTGTCATATCTGGGTTATCAGATGTAATATCTTTCACTACGAGAACAGGCACGCAGCAAGGTGTTCGATCTCATATGCTACGTGTAGAAACACATCGTGATTTGGCGTCGTGGGTAAAAAGTATTGTCACATGTACCTATGAAGCATGTTCTGAAACGGGTCAAGTCTCTTGCCGTTAGTTTTTATTTTTTGATGTAATGGCGTAATACTTGATTCTCATGTGTAGTTGTGAAGGAATTAAGACGTTGTCATTGTAAATTAAATACGCTCATATAATCTATGTCCTTTTTGATTTCGATGTTTATTTGATAGAAAAATTCTCAGTTAAGAAAGCACATTTTTCCGGGTATGATATCTTGCAGCCTGTGCTTGGCAAGACGAGCAGTGCGAGCTAATATTGCAACTAGACAAAGGTTTAAGTTTGATAGGCCATGACGGGCAAATTCGATGGCAGTATCCCTTCGAAGCAATTCGTGCTACTGGTGATGATGGCAATAGATTTCTGTGGATTGACTTTGGTCCACCATCAGGTGAACAGGTACATTCTAGTTCCTAACATGCTTGATGTTTTTAATGCAAGTGAGACGGAAATTATTTTTCTAGGAAATTGACTTGCTTTCATCACCGAAACCAGTCGTGTTCATCCTTCATTCATTTCTGGCTACCAAGGTTTATAGACTTGGATTATATGCATAACGCACAGAACTACACACTTGAGCGCATCTCACCGGTCTGCATTGGATTGGCCATACTAAGCATTAATATCATAGCAAATTCCTCGACATGTGGACTTCCTTTCATTATCCAAAGTTTTTGAGGCTTAAAGTGATGGTAACATATTACTTATTTGTTTGAGTCATTCCAGTAGTACAAGTAGTTTGCATAAATATATGTCAAGACTTTTTATGAACAGCACTAAAATAAAATAAACACAATAATCTGTAACAGTTGTAAGATAAAAAAAGAACAGTAACAAAAAACTGGGTCAGTTCGCCGGAGCGCCATATGCATCAGGCATGCGTTCTATAGAGAACCGGTGTTGTCGTATGTACAAAATTGGGACACCAGGAATTTTGCGGATTCGTCGTTTTAGATCTTTGTCACAAGTTGCCACAATGTAACACTTGTGCTGAAATAAATGTAGTTCATAAAAGTTCATTAGTATGTTGAACGATTTTGCGCACAAGGAATGATGGCCTGCACGCTTCACAACCTCGACAACTATTCAATGTAATATGAAAGTTTCCTATTCTGCAACGCAGTAACTGTTTCGAAAGAAAGGAGATGTCAATGCTTTGACGCAGCTAAGTCATGTATTGGTGTCAAAGAATTTAAGTCTTCTAAATGCATGGAATCAGTAGATATCTACTGCATTAATGTGATCAGTTGGAATAATCTAACTTGGGTAACTCGCTGTACAATGCAATCGTCAGCATAAATTCCTTTGTGAGAGCATGACAAACGTTGAAAGCGATTATCTTTGATTATTTTGAGAGCAACTTTGCACCGGTGTCCAAGTTTTTCCAATTCACCCAAAACACAATCTGTCACATATGGTATAGCTGAAATTTGCAGTAATGAAGTGTTTAACGCATTAAAAAAACCATATGAACAAGCAAAACACTTATGATACCAACTTTTGGCATATAAACAATCCATGAATCCTTGCATAATATCGATCCTGTACTTAATGGAAAAGTTAACAAAGTTGGTATCGATAATGATATGGAACGGTGGTCCGAGTTGAGTATTATATCTTAGAAACATAGCTGACGACACTTGAGGTCTGCAAAAGTAGAAAATGGACCCAGACAAAAATTCCCAAGAAGCGAATAAAAAATTATCAGATGAATCTGTTAGTTTTACCATTTCTGCTATGTAAGCATGGAACTTTTGATTTTAAAACCTAACACAGATCTTACGATTACATAGATAAGATGGATACAGAAACCGCAGAAAACCTACACTTCTATAATTTTTAGAGCTTGGTCGTCAACCTTTTTCTTTTTTTTGATAACACGGTTCTCTTCTTTTCTATAAAAAAATCTACAATTTGAATTCATGATGAAATGCAAACAGGAAAGATGAATTTTGACAAATTTATAAATGAACATTTACTTTTTTTTAAATTCAAAAACATAGCAGAATTTATGGAGATGTGATAGACAGATAATAATGCTAGTCTGAGTATTAATCTGCGAATATAAAAATATTAAACAAGTTTAAACTAAAAACGTAAATATAAAAATAGTGAACATGTTTAAACTAGAAGCGTACATTCGCGAATCGGTCGGTTTGATCATTTTTGCTAGCTTCGTGGCAAATTTCTGACTTTTCTTCAGCTTGCCCTAAAAGAGCTCTCAAAATAGATCGTAAGTGAACAAAAAAAGTTGTTTCAAAGTTTTACTTATAAAATAACTTACCATTTTCTCTGTTGACGTAAGGCACACTGACACCCGTATCGATAACTTCTTGTGTGCCTTAAATAGTGATGAAAGTAAGTATATAATACGACTCCACGTTGACTCCAAATACAACAATTTAAAATACAATTACCAAATATCGTAGAACCAAGCAATAAGGAGAATAGTCAATTTTTAACAAACGGAAAGAGCGGCCGTGAAATGCTAATGGGGAGTTTTGTTCGTCTACAGTAGTAAATGTATTATTTTGTTGTGATAGCTAAGTCTTGTTATCTTTTTAGCAGTGGGATTAGTTAAAAAGATTGCTTTAAATTAACGGAGTACTTTAAATGTATGATTG